CAGTGATCACTCACAACCGGTATGTCCTCACCGATCAGACCGTGCCGTTCAATCGCTTTTGCGGTGTTTGGTCCTTCGTTGATCGATCCTGGCTTGTTGCACCGGAACCGGGCGAGCTAAGGCGAATGAATGATTATACATCCAATATTGACCTTGCCATGCATGTCTGCCACCATCAACTTTACTGGGAGAAGAAGAATGAGAATGAACAAGATGGTTTCACATGGTCACGTTCCGAATATATGGAGTATGTGGCAGAAGAAATCGAGAAACTCCCAGTTGTAAAGAAGTTTTTGGAAAGTTTCCGTAGTGCCGATTCCGGTCCGGCCAGGCCTCTGCGAACAGAAGCAACTCCGAACGACCAAGAGCTTGGCCCACCTGAGACCGAGGCAGACAAGAGAGTAAAAACTCTCAAGGCAGAAATTTCCGAACGATTTAAGAAACATCTTGCCAAAGAGCGAAACAAGGAGCAGTCTTCCGCCTCGGAGAGTGAAGCTCCCAAAGGACCTGCTAAGGCCAAGCCTATGCCAAGGAAACCGAAGGATGCCGCCGCTGCGGCTAGCTCAGATCCAGCATCCGGCCAAGTTGATCCTGACGATGAAGTTGATCTTCAAGCAGCATCTCCCTGGGGCGGCCGCCGACAGGTTGTCAAGACAAGAAGACGCCGTGAAATGAACGCTCAGGCAAAGGATTTGTTCCGCGATGCGGACGCCGCCCAAAAGTTTTTCACTAAGTTTAAAAAGGATACAGAAGAAATTCAATGGTTTCCTCGCCCTGCGGGTCCTCAATGCTGTAAGAATTTTGCAGACTGTGGAAATTCAGAGGCAATGTTCTGGTGCCACCCTTGTGGCATGGCCTACTGCTTGGAATGCCGCACCTGCGGCTTGTCTTGCAAACATAATATTGTTAATTTTTCCTCAGAGTTGTCCTCCGACTTTATTCCAGACAGCATCGGCTCATCCAACTCACCTTTCGACATCGAAGAACTGGTTGATGCCGTACTGGCTGAGTCGTCGTATTTCGGCGCAACACGTCGAGAGCATGCTCAAAATCGCCAAGACAAATTCTCGGAACTGATCACGCATCTGCGTGAGGGCCGCTCAATTGGAAACACTTACCTTCAATCTTTTGCTCGTCATGGAATTGAAGATTTTGATTATACCGAATACATTTATGAAATGCCATTTGGATGTCGAATTCCGACTCTCCAGGAGCACTTTGTTGATGCCCAGGACCAGACGCCTCTTCCGATCTGGCGACCTGAGGCTTTCTTCAAGTACCCTGATGGCGGTGACCTTAAGTCAGAAGAGATTCTCCGTTTATTGGAACTCTTCAGATCGTGCCTTCTTGGTAAAAGAGCAATCCTTGGTGTTACCAAGCGCACTAAGGAGAACATCCATGAGTTTCAGAAGGACACGTATCAGCTTGGTATTTTGACTTTGAATCTTGGTCACATCAACCGTCTTCCGTTTATCGGAGGTTGTGCCAAATTTCCAAAATGGGTACGAACTGATATCAACCACCGTGCATTGCCACATTTAGTGTTCCGTAATGCGGCCCATATTGTGTGCCTGTGCGAGGCGTCCGATGAGTACGGTGGCATTGCCGTCCATCGAGAACTAGCCGATGAGTACGGTATGATTGGAATGGTAGTGCATCCGCACATCCAGTCACAGTCCGTTGCAATTTTTATCCGTGGCTCACATGATACCGGCTCCTTTATTGAACTTTTGTGTCATCACCAAATTGAAACCTCTACCAAAGATGCACCCTTTTGGATTTTGCATGGTGCCATTTTTCGTGTTTGCCATGGCATGAACACGTCAGGAGAATTTGTTGATCCTTCCACTGGCGCTCGTGTTCCGAAACCGGACATCGAGAAAAATGCCGAATCTACGGTGTACCAGCACGATCGCCCACTTGCATCCTCACTCGATTTTCTTGATCACTCGATCTGTGAGATCGACGGAGATGACGACCTTGCCGTCTCCGGCGTGGAAGCTTGTGAAGTGAATCTTGGAGCCGACACTCATGACGTCCGACGTCTCATGTTAGCTGAATGCCGCATTGCGGTTTTTCATATCTCCTCATACGCATGGAGTAATGCCTATAAAGAAACGTGCCAGAAATGGCTCCAATTTGTCGCAAGCTGTATCGAACATCAGTGTGACTTTTTGTCCGGTGACGGGAATCTTTTCGCACAGCGAAGCTTTAAGGCAGACGATCATTCCGACTACCGGACATGCATTTTAATCGACATTTTGGAGCGTTTCCTTCAGCAGATTAATCTTCACCGCAGTCCGATAAACCGTATTACGTATAACGTAGTTTCATCGACCACTGCAGCCAATTACATCCGCAGTATGCGTGGAGATGATTCTGATTGTGATTCAATGCTTTTAATTTCTCTTTGTTACGGTAAGCAGATCGCTGTCACGGAAGCACGTGCAAAAGAAGAATCAGCCTCTGCCGATGGGTTTGCAGGATCTGCCTTCTCCGACGAAGTTATGCTGAACGATGTTGAACAGCTAAAACATTTGATGGCATACGACCTTGGTCTGGCAGAAAAGGACTGTGCATGGCACTCACCTCTCCTTGCTTACGCCCAGTTGAAGGCATTGAAAAATATGCGCATCCGATCCAAGGAATCTGAAGATAAAAGACGTGAAAAATGGATGCAGCGAACTCAAGGATATCTCGAAAAACGAGAAGAGAGGAGAGATAGTGTTCCGCCGCTGCGGACTGACTCTCACAGAAATGTTGGACGCACTCGAAGTCGATCGATCAGCAGGACCAGAACATATCGACCCAGAGCTGAAACACCAGCACCGCCTCCGGCACCTGTGCGAGGTCCAGCAGCAAAGGCCAGACCAGTTGAACCTGTGAAATATAAAGCTGCACCGAGATCCTTGAAAGAATCACCAGCTCCGACGTCATCAGGATCTTCCTCTAGTGCTAGGCCGCCTGTAAAGGCTCCTCCAGTTCCGGCTCCCGGACGAACACTAGGTGCACAGCAGCCAAGAACGCCTCCTGATCCACCGGGACCGCCGAAGACTCCACCGCCGTGGAGAGAGAGATCTCAACAGAGTGAGCAGAAGCAAACGACCAGAAAAAGGCCGATCAACGTACCTGAACCTCCGGCGCCTCCATCCCGAATATCAGGTACACAATGGCTTAACCAAGGAACAGCTTCCAGCTCTTCCGTATCTCGTAATTACGATTACAGCTATGATCAGCCATCGCACTACAGAGTAAATCCCAACACCACTCAAGTAGAATGTGTCCCAGGGTACCAGATACCCAGACAGCGTTGGGTCCAGAAATATGACGGATCGTGGCTTGACATGATCCCGCAGACACCGGATCAGTCCATTTTCTTTCATCAGACCGGTGAGCTAAGAAGGAGGAACGAATTGAGTTTTTACGGTTACTATTTCACTATGGGCTTGTAGCCCCAAAAATTGCAATGTTCCGCATTTGCGGTCGCTTTCGTCCAATAGAAAATACCGCTTTCCAACAGCGGAGAGTAGCTTCTGTACAGTTTTGTTTTTGTCTTCGGACCGTCTCACAGCAGATCACAGGCTGAGCGCTACCTGTGAAACAGACTTGCATGTTCCGACACGAAGAAAATTTGTGTCTGTTTGTGATTTATTTTTGTTTACGTGTCTTCACAATGCATTCATGCATGTTGACATGTATACTTAATTCATATCTCTCATGCGCACTCCGCATGGCTCAAGACTAGCAGCAAACCGCGTAGTGTAAAAAGAGAGTGCAGCAGCCACTTCTTGTCCGCAGGTGTTGTATAGGTTTCCAGGGCTCCCTTAAAGGGGAAAGCTACCTCACCCCCCTTGAAGAAGTCCCCCCCCTCCCTTGTTGAAGAAGAAGCACCCCCCCCCTTGAAGAAGTCCGGTATCCCTCTACCGGGGAGATCTGTCCCACCTTGGGTCGGCTGATGTAACATACATCCACTGCTGCAGCCACCAGGATGGCCAAGAAAAAGCTGCTCCAAAGGCTCAACAACTGCGAAGCTGGGCTGCTCGGCACTTCACTGGAAGCGTTCATCTGCTGAAAATCTCTCCATGGCGCGGTGAAAACGCGGTGAAACCGCCTGCCTTTTGGTCGCACACAGCGGTACCAAGGCAAGAAGACAGGTGAAAGTTTGCCTCAGAAACTTGGGGGGTGGCAAAATTGCTGCCATCATTGGGATGGGGATGTATTTTACAATCTTCTGTGGAACGGCAGACTTCGAACCACTCAGCTATGCAGTTGCCATGTCGAGAAGAAGCGAGAGAATTATATACAAAGATCATAAGGGATCTTTTAAGGGGATACCCCCGTCAACATACCTCAGAATAATAAAGTTGATACCCTGGAATATTTTTTTTGAAGGGATGGGTCATCAAGACTGACTGCTGGGCAGTCAGGTCCATCAATGGGCTGTTCCGCTAAAGTCGGCGTGTTGCATTGATCCTGAGGTCTAAGTCTATCCTGAGCTAATCTCCATGGTATCTTGGGCTATGCTGCGAGCAAAGAACTGGAAGTCAACTTCAACGGAACGAGCCAAAACACGGGCCAATCCTATGCTAACTTTGTATATGAAAATAGTTGCTCTACTGGCAAAATGACGTTTCAAAATCATTGGTCGATCATGTGGCTCCGAGGTGGCAAAATCCCACAAGCATTGAGAGTTGAGACTAGTTGGGTAGTGCCAGTTGATCTGCCACCTGCCGACATCGTTTTTCAATGTAGTTCAGGATCCAGGTCTCTGTCCCCCGAAGAACTCATCGCTGCTAGACTCCACCCATGTTGGAAAGAGTGGCGAATGGGGATTCGCAGTGGATGGTGACTTTGAAAACTGAAAAGGACCATAAAAATCCCATCCAAATCCCATCCAAATGCAGATCTCCCCAGGCTTTTGCTACCCTGATGAAAACGCAGATGAAAAGAATGGCGAAATCCCAGAGTTTTGCCTCCGCCCTTCAAGAGGCCCTTTTTCTTCATCCATCTTCCCAGCGCAGCTGCTCCAGTTGCCGGCGAAAGGGATCATAGGGAAGTTGCTCTCCCTCAAACACCTGGCTCACAAATATGTCACTGGTGGAAAATCGTCACTGGAACCTCTTGAATGACTCTGGGATTAGTTTCAATTAGTTTTAACTCATCCAAAAGTACATAAAATGCAGCATGCTTCACACCGTCAACCATCCATGCGTTTAATCCCGCTGCAATATGGACGGAGACCAACTGTGGCAGGAAGCACAGGGGGGACAATGCATCAAAGTGAAGAATAGAACCTCTGGGACTAATGACATCCCACTCATAGCTTCCCGGCCACATGTCAGCCTGATGCCAACCCCTATCCTTCAGGTCTGTCGCAGACCAACTTTGATCACTGTGAAGGGAAAAACTGCTCAATCGCATGGAAATCCTTCTTTTTTCCTCTTCCTCGACCCACAAGGAGATAGTTAAAAAAACTTTGACTATCTCAAGCTCCAAACAATTTGTTGTTCAAAACCCACAACCACTAAAAGAACTTATTAAATCAGCAAACCACGCACCCAAAAAGATCTTCTCCCAACGGCTCTCGGAAAACACCGCAGCGGCGCAGCCTCATTCCGATGTCGCAGAGACACCACAGGGCTGCCCGCAACCTGGCGACCCAACGGGCACATCAAGACCTCACCACTTGTGGAAAGAATAGCTATAAAACTTATAACCTTCGTGGCCCGAAAACAATCTGCCAAACAACTGAGATCTAACCGACCTTTGCTTCCCGATCCTTCCAGGTTTTGACCCTCCAAACCTCCCACAATTCCAGGCTCAAGGAGGCGCCAGCTTCAGGCCACGTGCGATCGCTTCCTGGCATCAGCACTTCTTCGAGGCAGACCAGTGAGGCAGCCTGGGAAGCCACGACAGGGGTCTCCTTTTTGGGTCATATCCATGGGTTTAGTGGGATAGGCTTCATCCACATTCATCCACCTAGGCTGAGTTCCTAACCTACAGAATTAAATTCGTGGCTAGATGAGCCACCAAGTAGTGATAGAAAAAAAACAAATCCAGGTGATGGATATGATGCTACCCTCTGGTAATTTAACATAACTATTGAAAATGGAAATTTATACATCAGGTTTTGTAGTGGGTTTTCCCATTAAAAATGGTGGATCTTTCAATAGCTATGTTAAATTACCAGAGGCTATGTATCATGGGATGTATAACCAACGATGTGATATTCTCCACAGGTGTGTCCATAAAGATGGTGCTTTCCTCAATCGGGAAAGCAATGGTGAAGGACTTGCCCATCGAACCTCCCTGGCCCTATGCAAGACCTGGCAGAGGTTGATCCTTTCGCAGCAAAACATGAAAACTGGCAGAGTACCTGCAGGCCATGAACCACACATTCGGAGCTGTCTCAAGAATGAGGGTTTTTTTACTGAGTAACACTTACCCCCAATCTGTAAAGCTATGTTTTCTTGGGGAAAATGATGTTGTTTTACGGTTTAAGCCTCAAGTTCTCATGCTTTGATCCAAACTGTTTGGTACCCATCTCTCCAAGCGACATCCACTGCGTAGATCACGGTGCCGGTGTCATCTCCATCCAAGCGAACGTCACAGGCATGGAGCATCTCGGCAAGGAACGGCCAGATCACTGGGCCTGGCCACAAGTAGCAACAGTGTCAAGCTGTTCTACTTGGTGGCGAACAAGCCATGAATCCGAAGTAGGTTAGTTCACCCTGTTTTTTTCAGTGGGATAAGTAGGGTTAATCCACTTGCAACTAGGGTGAACTAACCTACCTAGTAAGTGGGATGAGCCATCAAGCAGAGATATCTGCGTCTCCTCTGTGTGCTTCTGCCCTTCCTGGACTGTGCCATACGGCAGAGCCGAGCTGAGTTCTATGCAGTGGCTCGGTAATGTCACGTTGCATTGGGCGGCTACTGGAAACCGACCAACCAATTTAAGCAACCACTAATCATCTGGTTATTTAACATAGCCATGGAAAATCACCATTTTTAATAGGTAAACCATCTATAAATGGGCCATCTATACCATGGCTATGTTAGTCATAACCAGATGGTAATCATCACTCATGAACATTCCGGTATATATGGTGAATGGCATACCGGGCTGAATCTGTGGGACCTTGCAACCACTGGCACTTCGGCACTTCATCTCAGGTCGGATGGTTCATGGTTCTATGGTCATCCCTATGAACATGGATTCATGACCATCCCTGAATATGGGTACACGATCCATATTGGTGGACCATGTTTTGACCATGGCCCATATTACAATTAGATCGATAGATCGATAGATCGATGGATGAATGGATGGATGGATAGATGGATAGATGGATGGATGGATGGATGGATGGATAGATAGAACGATAGATCGATAGATCGATAGATCGATAGATCGATAGATTGATCGATAGATCGATCGATCGATAGATAGATAGAGAGATAGAGAGATAGAGAGATAGATATATATATATATATTATATATATATGTATGTAAGTATGTATAATATGGGTTTGTCTAAAAATAGGTACCGTAATGTACCGTAAAATCCAATCCTTGATCATCATTTCCCAAAAAATATCATCACCGTTGCAGCTGAGTCAGCCACGTGCCATTGATGCATGAAGGGAGACTTCAAGGAGTGATTCAACGACTTCCCACGAGGAACTATGGAACAAAAGCTGCACGTAACAAGCTCATAGCTGGAGACAGAGAACCAACCTCCCTGGGTCAGTGTAACAGGTTGCTAGTGCTAATGCTGCGCAGGGTACCGCAAGTCGCTGGCGACAAAGGTGGCCTCGAGACTGGTTACCTCTTCCTCAGTGCTGTTCGGAAGGAGGTTGATGGTAGAGGAAGAGGTAACCAGTCTCGAGGCCACCTTTGTCGCCAGCGACTTGCGGTACCCTGCGCAGCATTAGCACTAGCAACCTGTTACACTGACCCAGAAGGGTGATGAGTTCCTGTCCAGGACGACACAGACACATGGCTAGCGCGTGGAGTCACGCGCTAAAGGAATCCTCCAAGGATGCCCAAACAGACTACATATAACTAGCTAGAAACTCGAGGGGGTGAGGTCCGGTGAACTGAAAGTCCCCCCAACTCGTATGTGATTAAGCAATATTAAGCAGGTAGCAAAAACAGGCATTCTTCCAGGATGCAGCTCCTAGTTGAGTCTAGTTGCAGCTCGGCCCATGTGGCCCATATGGCAGATCATCACCGGTGATTTTTCAACCCAACCAGGGAATTTCCACCACCCAAATTACCGGAATCGCCTGCATCCTGCTTCATCAACTGGGTCCAGTGCCTCAGGGGCGATCTATCTGAAACGCCGTGGTGGGACGTGGTGGATCTGTCTGAAACTTATGGGATTAAAAAAAGAAAGCTACAGTACCCTCTGGTAAACTAACATAACTATGGAAAATCACCATGTTTCATGGGAAAATCCACTTTAAATGGCCATTTTCAATAGCTACGTTAAATTACCAGAGGGTAATTTGATGGATGATCATCGTGATCCTCATTAAAATGGACATTTGGGTCTGTCTGAAAATATCTGAAAATCTGGTAAATATCCATACCCTAGTTTCAGTCAAACTCATTTGGACTCATTTGGGCTATCCCCCATTTTCGCCCGGGCGCAGGTAATTCTGGCGTTTCACAGATTCCACAGCACCTGCGCAGTAGTAGAAGGGGGTCGGTGAAAAAATATTCCAAGAGGTATAGTGCATTCAAGAGACATAATGACCCTTTGATATGGAGGTTTCCTGAAATTGGGGTACCCCACATCATCCAAGTCATTAAACAAGTTGAGTATTGAAACAACCATGGTGGCTTGGGGAATCCCCGTATGGTTTTGGATGCCTAAAAAAAGTGTTAAAGCAATCTATGTGTGCAAGTTCTCTCACACGATTCACACATCACACTCGCTTCCAAGCTGCAATCTTTCACAGCCCCCTTCGCAGCCCAAGGGCTTTGTCCGGTTTGTCCAAAAAGGATACCCAGCAAAATCCGCCCATTTTCGGAATATGAGCTTCTAATCCATTGGAATCCATTGGAATATGGTTTTTTTCCATGTGTTTTCCCAAAGATTTCAGACAAACCCTGCTTTCTCTGGCCTCCAGCAAGTTCCGGCAAACTCATCACTGCATGGCAGAGATCTTGTGCCTCACTCAGACCTGAGCTCTGAGTTTTGCCGGAGACAATGATGACCAAAATGCAGGAATAAAAGCACTGCTGATAATAATAGTAAGAGTAGTAATAGTAATAATAGTAATAATAGCAATAATAGTAATAATAGTAATTATAGTAATAATTTGATGATAATAATAATAATAGCAATAACAATAACAATAATCACCATCGCCACCACCACCATCACCACCATCATCAAGAGGATTGCGGCACCTGTACTTTCCTCCGCAGGACACCCCGGCTCCACTAGGCTTGCCCAGCGTCTGCTTGCATGCGGCGGCGTCTCACCTTCCCAGGACACCTACGCCACCGCTTGGTAGTTTCTAACTCATCCAGAAGATAAAAAAAAAAAAACGTTTGGGATCATCCCAAATACGGGGGAAAATACCAAGCTGATGAAACATACCAAAAAGACCATACTTTGGTCATATAGTACCATAGTATTATGACCAAGTATTACCAGTGGGTCAATGGTAGCTGAATGTTTGAAAACTACCACAGCTACAACCCATCGGCCCCACTGGTAAAGTATGGTCAAGTCATCCAAGGTACCCCATCATCAATGTGAAAATCCAAGGGCCTACCCGGCCTGGTAAACGTTTCCATAACGAACTGGGAAGATCCACCATGCTATTAATGGGTAAATCCACTATTTCTATGGCCATTTAAAAAATAGCTATCTTTGTTTACCAGAGGGTAATTTTCTAGACTCGTTTGATGACACTTTTTTCGCAAAGACGTGCGCGTAAAAAAAAAACAGGAACGTTTCTATACAGCAAGATTCTCCAAGTGGAGTGGCAACACATAAAATCACAGATGGGAAATGATGAATTCCCAATTTTTATCACAACATTGTGGTACCCTCTGGTAAACTAACATAGCTATTGATTGAAAATGGCCATTTATAGTGGATTTTCCCATTAAAATTGGTGATTTTCCATAGCTATGTTAAATTACCGGAGGGTAACAGCAACTTTCCCATCCCCATAAGCCATCATCAATGGATGGGCACAATCAGAACAGGATGAGGCCGTCGACTGTTTAACTGCGCTGATCTTGGACCATTCTCTAAAAGTGTCAACCCGCTATTAGCCCAAGACCACAGCCATCCCCAACTATAGTAACTATAGTTGATGAAATTCCAAAGTGACCCTGAAATGGAGGTTTACTGCTTTCTTTCGTGCGATGGTGGGCTATTGGGTTTGCCATGTTTCAACCAGATGCAGATCTGGTAGACACGAAACATGACTCTGGCGGAGCACCTAGTGCTGCAGCAATCTCTTGCACCAACGAGGCTGCCTCAGGGACCACTTGTGGACTGGGCTACACCACATCGTCATTGGTGCAAAACGGGACCTGAAGACCCTGGCACCAATGGACCACTAAATATTGTCGTGTTTACTGTTTACCATTCAACAATCTATTTGAGGTCCAACATTTTTGACCGGTTTGCAAGAGGGGTACGTAGCACTACTACTGGGACTGGCGAACGGCGGCCATGGAAAATGATTCCACCCGGTTCATGGCTCATCACAAAAATATGTGCAATGTCAGGAATTTTCTTAGCAAATCTTCACCCCATGAAAAATTCTGGTTGGTGGTTGACCTACCCCTCTGAAAAATATGAGTTCGTCAGTTGGGATGATGACATTCCCAATATATGGAAAAATAAAAAATGTTCCAAACCACCAACCAGTATTGGTTTGCCTATCCTCTGGTAATGGAAATCCCCCACCGTTATAAATCTGTTTCCCATGTCAGACTTCCATGTACAAGGTATTTTCCATTGCCATATTTGATTACCAAATGGTAAATCGACATTGATGATGATTTAATTCTATTGATGATATTGATGGTCGTGGATATACTAGAATATGTTCTTTATCAATGATCATCAAATATTTTTTCGGGGATTTCCCATTGACACTGATCAATCAATCATTGTTAATCAAATTCAATCAGTTGATACCATTGGAGATCAAATTGATCCATTCACCTTTTTGTTGGATTTCTATGGATTTCTGGTAAAATCCCATGCAACTCCATCAAGGGGGTTTTCCCGGCACCTGCAGCGTCTCCTTGGGTGCCAGCTGTGGCAGTAGAGCTTCACCACGCTGCACGAGGACCTGCAAGTCCCCAAGGGTCCTATGGCAGTCCCTCAGGGAGAGAAAAGCATCAAATATGAAAACGGCTTTTTGGGTCCTAGGTCCTATCTTTCACCTGGAGATATAAGTTTTTTTGGGCATCAACTGTGGCTGCCAATGGACACAGAATTTGTCACTTTGAGTGTCAGATCATCCCTTGAAAAGGGTAGGTGGTTTGAAACAATTCCCAAATTATGATGAGTTCTTCCAGTCGGCTCCTTTCATCTGGAGTCAGGTTCCGAATACTGGTGCCACGTGTGCTGGTGGAAAATGACTTCATCCAGATCGTTGTCCACGATGCCATCACGAGGATGCTGAAAAACCAGAAGGAAAATAAAACCACACCAACACAAACAGAAAAGCCAGAGGGGAGGACATACAAAACAAAAACTGGACGATGATAGATTGTATTTGCTACGGAATGTTCATCCGCAGTCTGAGCACTGGAAGGGTTTTGATAGAGTTGTTTTGTTGTATGATTCGGCCATTCTTGGGGTTTGGGGGGTGGGGAGGGCTAATAACGTTCATCATACCTACTACGTTCTTGACATGACGCTCTTGACTTTCTTTCTGTCATTCTTAATAAACCTTCATCCTGCTACGGTCTTGCCATGAGGCTTTCTTACATAACTTTCCACTACGTTGAAGTTGCTTTCTTACAGTTGTTTTCTTACATAACTTTCTTCTGCGTTAGAGTTGCTTTCTTGCATCACTTTCCACTACATTAAAGTTTTTTTCTTACATAACTGTCCACTTTCCACTACGTAATGGCTGCTTTCTTCTAGCAACACAAGACCAACAGGATCGAATCTTGACAGAACTGTAGTCCTTTTCCATTCACCAAAGACCTTTAACGATGATGTGATGATGTGACCCCTAACGGTCCTACTCCCCGGAACCCCCCCGGAAGCCCCGAAGATCATACCGCCTCCCGCCTCCCAGGGCGAAGTCCATGTGCTGCTGGCCTCTCTGGCCCCCAGGGCAAAGGCCTAGAAAGCACGTCAGCCTGGTGACCTAGTTCCAGAAAAATGCAGGGAAAATCATGGATTTAGTACATTTAATGCCAACCAAACCCTGAGGATTGCTGGGTTTTTTGGACTGATTCACAAACCAACTCGCATGTTGGAGACAAAAAATGCAATGGGTCAATGGGAAAATCATCTTCAAGACCCAAAACCTTCTCTGAGGTTTTAAGTTTTTGGTTCATAACTCAACCGCCAGTCGAATCAACCCACTCAACCAACACTTCGGGTACCCACAAAGCCATCACCCACCTGCGCCGAGGTGATGCAACAGGCGCGATTGGCGGCCCTCAATAAGACCTGGTTTTCGTCAACGACATCTCTGATTTGGCCAGCAACCATTTTCAAGAAAATGACGAAAACTGACGGTGAAATTGACAATTCACATTTGAAGTAAGTTGATGGATGATCAAAGCAAGTTTGCTTAGACAACTTCCGGGTTACGGAGGATGGCCATGGTTAGCATTCACACCATCATGTCAACCACATCAAGCAGTTGGGAAGTGTAACAGTTCGGAACCCTGTGAGTTCACGCGTGACAACATTCCCGGACATGGCTTGTGTTTTTTCGGGTAGTGTGGCTCCTGGGGTCGCCGAAGTAGGGTTTGTGTTTCCCCGGGTCCGGGCCTCAATCTGTGAAAGTTGTCGCATGAGACTGTATACAGCGCGAGAGCTCGATTTGCACTTAAAATGGCAAAAAAAAAATCACAGAATCAGAGCACTTTTGGAAGATGAAGTTGGAAAAGTGCATTTATTCATCGATTCTTTGATTCATTGATTCCTTGGTTCTTTGATTCATTGACTCTTTGATTCATGGGTTCATTGAGTCATTGCTTCATTGAGTCACTCATTCATTGATTGGTTCATTGGTTCATTGATTCATCCGTTCAGAAATTCACTGATTCATCGATTCATTGATTCATTAATTCTTTGATTCATTGCCTCTTTCCTTCATTGATTCACTGATTCATTGTCTAATGGGTTCATCCATTCATTGGTTCATTGGTTCATTCCGCCAGTTGCACATGGACTCTTTCATGTGGTTTCATTGGCATCTCAACCACCATTTGCTCATTCGTTGATGCACCTCGCAACTTCCACACTTCTTCATTGCTTCTGCATCTCAAAAACCTTACCTATAGGCCGTTGATTTCTGGTTGAAAATGTTCGAATCTTCCGCCGCATGGGCCGGGCATTATCTGGTATTCTCCAATCCGATTCACGAGAATGATACTTTGATAACGCTGTTGATGCCTCCTGACGCAACATACAACATTGGAACAGACCCCTTTGCTCCATCCCAGCAGATCTTCTCTTGCACGAAGCAGGGTGACTCTAAATCTCATACTGCGGTGAATCCAAGAACATAAACCTCCAATTTGGATAGTTTATACCAGCGATTGTTGGCACGTCATTGTGGATGGTTTGCTATTGGGCTTACCACATGAGTCGCAGGAGTATATATTATATATACAACTTTTACAACCAGAAGTCCCATGGTTTATCGCCATTTCCCTCTGAAAATGACATACCCTCTGGTAAGTTAACATAGCTATTGAAAATGGCCATTTATAGTTGATTTACCCACAAAAAAATGGTGATTTTCCATAGTTCTGTTAGTTTACCAGAGGGTAAATTGATGATAATTGCTCATGTCAAACCGAAAGTCATTGTCATCAGCAGGCAGCACTGCCCGCCCAGCCTTGGAAGTGGCATTGCCCGCAGCCCAGTCAGCTCCCTAACAGCAAGGTTCACGGGGGACCGGTTTTGGGGAAGGAAACAGATGGCCAACAAAAATAGCGGTTCCTTTCGGCAAAGTTTGGCCCATCTTCGTTTTTTCTCAAAAAGATAGCCTGCCACAACTTTCGAAAGCGGGAAGAGATGTGGCCATCAGTGTGAACAACTCAATTTCAAAAGGATTGCTTCAAGAGTTTAAACATGGATTCTTGATGCTTTAAATTCCTACGTTTTGACCCTTAAATCCCTGCATGTTCCATTGGTTAAATCCTCATCTCGGCCAGCCAGACTCCGAGTGGAACGGCCTGCTGTCTGATCTGGTTCACTCCCCTCTGAGTTAGCTCACCCCAAGGGAAGCCTCGCGGCTTGCGCGCGCCGTGTTTTGCGGATGCTGGGAATGGAGGGGCAGCCACTAGGGCGACATGTCGAGGTCTTAAACATACATGTTGTGAGATATGGTGTCCAAAAAATGGAAAAGCAATCTGACTTTATTTTAGTAGGATCAAAAAAGCTGTGTAGAGGGGCTATATAGTGTAAAACGGCAAATCCCTACTAGTAATATGTGAAATAGCTTGGATTTTGTTCCGTTTTCTTGGATAACGCCTACATTTCTTTGAATTAAAGGTCAGCATGGTGGAAGCAGTTTGTCCAATTTAAACATGGTGTCAACAAGGTGCTTCAAGTGACTAAACCAGTGACGCTGCAATGGAAGCATGGCCCGAAGCCCATCCTGCGACTCGTCCCCTCTGGCGATCCATGCAGCAGCCATGGAGCATCCATAGCTGAAAATTACAACTTCCACAAGCGAGGCAAACTCTCCATCTACTGTAGACTTGGGCAAGTTCTCGCTCATAGCTGGGCTCGCCATGAAAGTGGCGGAAAGCAGTAGCTTCTGCTTTGAGAAGCCGAAAGATCGCTAAAGAGCCGAGCCGAGCTTTGCCCAGCCGAAATTCACATCTGGGGATTGAAATCCCAATGACCCAGGTGTTTTTTCCCGGGAAGTTCATCAACTCCCAAGGTGACGTGTTCCACGTGTTCCACGGGTTCCACCTCAGCCAATCCTCAGGGATCCAGCACCTGATGCATAGCCCTCCACATCGTGCATGCGCTGTTCCTCTGAGGTCAGCATCAGAGTGATCACTTGGTGATGTGAAAAACGTCACTTGTTTTAATGGGGGATATAACGAACAAGTTACCCTCTGGTAATGACTAACATAGCTATGGAAAATCACCATTTTTAATGGGAAAACTCACTATAAATGGTGATTGTCCATAGTTATGTTAGTTTACCAGAGGGTATATCAAAGGCGTAATATTTACCCACCAAAAATCACGAACGGGGACCTCACCTTGTAGACAGGATCTATGATAATCTATGTATGTTGGACATGTCTCAACCCTCTGCATTCAAGTGGCCCATTGTCGCAGCTCCCTGGCAGCCGAGGATCACAATTAGATAGTCGCTACTGTCCTTCCTTACATCATGTGGGTGTTAATTTGTTGTCCAACCCATACATCCTTCAAAAAAATCCAGGGGCTAACATCTTGTTGACTCATCCCACTATACGTGGCTTAGTTCACCCCACTAAAATCGTGGGAAAATGTAGGGTGGATCCACTTCCAACTGGGGTTACAACGGTTACAACCCACTTACAATGTGGGGCCCCCCAGTTATAAGATGGTTTATAAACCCCATTAACTATAGTTGTAGGTACCATAAACCATAGTTATTGGAGTTATAAACCAACTTAGCTATCTAGGGGGCCCCACTTTGTACGATCTGTGGGATGAACCAAGATGGACTCCCCATGTGACGCCTGGCGAAGCCCACGTTGGGACGAATGCAGGGCCGCGCGGCGCGAATGAGGCGGATGGCCACAGCGGCAGGCACGCCAAACTTCCACATCACATAACCTTGCCAGTGATCACTCGGTGAACTGTTGGCTTTATGGAGGATATAACTATTGATGTAATATATACCCTCTGGTTATTTAACATAGCCATGGAAAATGGCCCATTTATAGATGGTTTACCTATTAAAAATGGTGATTTTCCATGGCTATGTTAAATAACCAGAGGGTATATATATAATATGTATATGTGTTTTATATTGATATATCACTATTGACATAACTATAGTTAATGGGGTGGGCCTAACAAGAGTGAAAAAAATGGATGCAAAAAAAAAAAACTCGCATTCATATATCATTATTGATATACTGCAAAATGGGCTTATCAATGAGTGCTTTTCAGTCGCTGCCTGTGTTAATTTGAGTTGAATGATCCTGGGTTTCCCATTTCTGAAACGTCTCTGTCCCTTAGGCACACTCCTGTGGCCAGGACACGGGTGAGTTGCTGACAGAAGCCTCAACCATGAAGGGAAGTCTCCTACAACCATCTTCTACCTCCCTATCTTTCGTGGTTGAAATCAATCCCATCATCGGGCGATGAAAAACGACGTCTTCAACACATCTCAAAGCTCCCAAGCCCATTCTATCTAGTGGTTTACATCATTACGTCTTGCTTAAGGCTTATCTTTAAACCTTCCCATCTTCACTGCTTGTTGTAGATCAATCAATCCCAAACAAATGGAGAAAGTCGCAAAATCCATTTCCAAAACAAGCGCAATTTATTGAACCTGCTGGACACTGGCAAGGGCTCCACTGAAAATGTCTATGTGGGTTACCCTCCAAACTAACTCTTCGATGTGTAACATCACTGAAAATCACCATGTTCCGCGAAATCATCGAACTTTCTATGGTTTACATCCATGTTCATCCATTTTCATCCATTTTCCACATCAAACTCTTGGTTTACAGGGCCCACCCACCGATTCAGTGCCGTGCGGCTGGCTGTTGCCGTGGGTGCCCTCGAGATGCCTGCGCCGCAATGCACATAGACCACCCCGCGCGGCTCGTTCCTGCAGGACCCCATGGATTTTTTGGATTCAAAACCTCAAATGGGGGGGTCCATAAATGTGGGTACCCCAATAGCTGGATTATTTATAGCGGAATATCCATGTATCGATGGATGATTTAAGGGTACCCCCATCTCAGGAAACCTACAAAGAGTTTCCCGAAACATGCTGAATGCATCAATCAATGACATATCTTTCAACATACTAATTCACATCAACCATATCCGGTTGGTGTCGTAAACACACCTATCTTATATGTTCAACCCCAAAGCTAGGCTTTGGATATGTTTGGATGCTTAGTTCCTATTTAAAAGATGAAAAAAAATGTTCAAGGAATGCTTAGTTCCTATTTTTTGGATGCTTAGTTCCTATTTTTTGGATGCTTAGTTCCTATTTTTTGGATGCTTAGTTCCTATTTTTTGGATGCTAGGCTTTGGGAAATGTTCAAAGATTCCCCAAAGATCTCAGATTTCCCAAACATGGCACAAAAGCCTAACTCGTGATCGTGATCGCTGCCACTGGAGCTCCCAGCTTCCCAGCTCTGGATGAAGGATGATCATACTCGCAAGATAAACTATATCACCAAATACCCTCTGGTAATGACTAACATAGCTATTGAAAATGGCTATTTATAGTGGATTGTCCCATTAAAAATTGTGGTTTTCCATAGTTATGTTAGTTTACCAGAGGGTAATTGGGGTCCCAGTTCTTCCAATGTACAACCAAAGTATCCCCAAATCCTCAAGTTATGGACATTATTTATCTCCCTTTTGTTGTATGTCATTCCATCTGATAAAATAACTATTTTAGTGGCGGAGTGAATCCCACCATCTATGGCAAAAGTTAGGAGAAACCATTATAAACCAACAAGCATCACAAAATTACCATAAGTGGAGGTTACTAAGTCATGGGGATACCCCCAGTTCTCATCCAGTCGTCATGGACCATGACTTGGTAGGATCCCCCCATTCAACCCCCAAAAAAAAGGTCCCTCCTGGCAGCATCGATAAAGCGACAGATCTCCGGAAAGCGCTCTCCGAGCCTAATCGCCACCGGATTCTTGAGAACTTACCAAGAGAAGGCTGGGATACAAGAGAACTTTCCCATGTGAATTATGAATTATGATGAATTAATGATGAATTATGACTACACAAGGGCAAAGAGGAAATGCAGTAAACCGTCATCGGTCTTGGCGACCAAGTGCAATTTTGAATCCTTTTTCCTGTTTTTTTGTGGCAAGCAACTTCTGCGCAGCATCTTCACTATCAAAGGAGTGAATATGTAAATGTCCACGGATAAACCTCAGATGGCCGCCACGAAAATACAGTGGCGACGGTGCAAATCTCGGTGGCACACTGATCCAAAACAGCCGGTGATTCACAAAGTGGCGACCAGTGAAAAGAGGGAGGCACCTTATCCTCGAATCCTCTTAAGAGATCTTAAGAGTTCAATTTGATCCAATTTGAGTGAAACCAATCATGTGAAACCAAGGCTTTCAAGTTTCGGAAAAACGTTTGTTCAGGCGTTCCAACCAGCGGTTTTTGGTCCCAAAAGACCACCGGCTCTCAAACCTTTCCAGTGGCCTCCTTCACTTGCTGGGTAACTCCAAAGAATGCACCAAGACTTTGGGTTGCCAAGGAAAACCCATGGAGATCCTACGCCTAGCCTCAGATACCTTGTCAAACACAACGAGCCGGCATTTTCTAAGAAAGCTGGCAAGTCTATGTCCCCAGAAACGTCAAAGTCAAGCGGCTCAGGAAGCCGGCGTTGATCAGCCGAGATGATGGAAACCACATGCCTGCGATGGGTCGGCCTTGTCTTGGGTGATATGGAAAAACCCACCGAAAGGTTTTGGGAAGTCCTGGTTCCAACTCAAAGTGATCACATCCTCAAAATTGGAAAAAGACAAGCTTTGGGGGAACAGTGACTGGCCATCATTTACAGAATCCTTGGCTGATCAAAAGGGCTAACACGCCTTCAGAAAAACCGCTCAGACAGCCGGACATCCTTAATCCCATCCCCCTAATAATATTACCATCTGGTTATGACTAACAGTTGGCCATGGAAAGATCCACCATTTTTAATAGGTAAACCTCTATTTCTATGGGCCATTTCCCATGGCTATGTTAAATAGCCAGAGGGTAAACACCTCGCATTGTGTCCCAAAAAATATATAATCCAAGCCCCTACATCCATCATGGTTTCTGGTGGGATGTTCAATATTTTTACCTGGAGGGGAAATGAAAAAAATCTACCCGGCTTCATGAGATCTGGGCAAATTATAATAATTCACTAACCTGAATTAAGGCCACTCCACTTGTTTCGGACACCCAGCCGCCCCCCTGCGAATGACCTGAATTAAGGCCATTTGGGGATGATTTCCCTTACTAACCATGATTCCAGTGAGGTCGCAGTGAGGTCGTTATAATTTACCCAGATAAAATGAACATGGGGAAATCAACTTGAAAAGCACCATGGATCCACCACGAATCATCGATTTTTAGAAGGTAAAACCACTCTTTTTTCTTTCACGCTATCATGAGGGGTGATGTTTGTGGTGCATAACCCACCACCAACCATGAAACATGGATGAATGGTGTTACCATAAACCACAATGGGTAATACCGTAATACCATTAATCAACGTATTTTTCCACCATTCATTCGCCACTAATAGCCATGATGCATCACATTGGGTAATTCAACGTTATGATAAACACATTATCATTGGGTTATTAATCAACATGAAACACCATTCACCACGATAATAAGAATGATAAGAGTTGGTAAACCATAAGTGACTTTAACATTGGGAGGCTTGGTACAAGGTCCTTCGCCGAGCAACGTCACGTGGCGTTTGCGCAGCTCCCCGCAGTCTTTCCCCAGTGCGGCCCAACCACCCAGCAGCAACGCGGGCAGGACCTATGGGGGCCAAGGATATCCAGATTTCCGGGTCTACTTGGAGCTTATACCATCTATGGGTTAATGTGGGTAAAACAATGTCATAAACCACCCATAACTCATGACTGGGAATGGTAAACGAATCCCACCTATAAAAATGGTGATTGGATGGTTTATGGCATTGTTTTACCCACATTATGACTATATACAGCTATGGCTACTCACCAGTTACTAAATGGGAGTCTACAAAGAAGCTGATTGGAATATACTTGGTGATTATCCTATTTGTAAATGGGGATTGGTCAAAATCTATGGATTTTTGGGGGATGAACATCAAGCTATAGCTACTATAGCTATTTGGAGGTGAACGGAAGACCAGGCTTTTGAATGCTTTTGACCCATAGCCAAGTGGCTAAGAAAACTATGGTTACTTACCAGTTCCTAATTGGGATCCCCCAGCGTCCTTTTCTGGGAACCCAACTCTCCAGGTCGTGGTGAGATGACCCAGTTTCATCTTGGCAACCGTTCCTTCCAAACAGTAGCCTTCATATTCAAACAGTGGGAATTGGTCTAGGGGAAAACCCTCTTTGTGTCAAGCCTGGAATCATAAACCCCGGCTGAATTGGGGGTGTACCATTTAAGTATCAAGCTCTTAATAGTTCTTGATGGTAAAGTCTACTATAAAGTCCATCAAATCCTCGGTGTTCTTTACATTTACAACGTCAAAGCCACGGTTTTCGGCCTGGACATGGTCTAGATTAGTGGTTTGTCCATCCTCAAAATGAGCGATATACAATTTGTACAATGATATGCACCCAAAACTGCGAGTTTCATAGTATATGTATGTATGTATGTATGTATGTATGTATGTATGTATGTATGTATGTATGTATGTATGTATGTATGTATGTATGTATGTATGTATGTATGCGTGTATGTGTGTATGTGTGTATGTGTGTATGTGTGTATGTGTGTATGTGTATGTATGTATGTATGTATGTGTATGTATATGTATATCTATATGTATATGTATATGTATATGTATATGTATATGTATATGTGTATATATATATGTATGCATATATATATATACACATACATCCATATACATATAATATATGGTAAGCTCTTCAATTCTTGGGCTCCCCAATTTTCAAACAGAGCCACAGGATACCCAGCCGCCACGCCTGGTGACAAACATCCTGGCGCGGATGACTGGTGCACACCTGCAGCCCTGCAGAGGACAGGGCCTTCAAAGCCGCCTGTAGGGCCTGAGATCCATGGAGGGAGATTTGTCTGTGATTTGTGTATGAATAAATGTTGAGATCATAGGATAACAACTGTATCACCAATGGTTAATAGTTAACCAACAGTTGAAAAAGATCAGAATATTAACATCATTAATTACCAATGGCGATTATATACCCTCTGGTTATGTCAAAATAGCTATTGAAAATGGCCCAGTCGAAATAGTTGATTTACCCAGCTATAAAATGGTGGATCTTTCCATAGTTATGGAAACGTTTACCAGAGGGTGTATATATTGTATATATACATATGATCCAGCCCTCCCTGTCCCCACCCAACGGGTAAGGGTCCACAGCTCCAGGGGTAGAGATGATCCCCGCCCCCTCCTGTGGGTGGGGGTGGCTATGTCAGTACCCCGGTATTCAAGGATACATCATATGCAGGTAAAAAGGTAGTGATGATATTAATATGTGTATATATATAATGTGTATATATATATAATATGATCCATGAGATCATAGATCTTCATAAACAATATCATAACAGATATGATCTATGAATCCAGAAATTGGGATCTTTTCACATGATCTTCTGGCGAAACGGCGACAGGAAGCCCCATGGCCCAATCTTGGTCTCATCCTCGGTCCCTTCATAGGATGATCCTGTTTGTTGTATAAATCCAGTCCCACCCAATGATGTCCATGTCGGAAAAACCGGTTTGTGCCACTTTGGCAAACCCTCTATCATCATTGCCCCCCAGTTATGTTTGTTGGTTTATAAACCCAATGAACAATAGATAATAATAGATATATCTGATCGGCGCCCGAGTCACTCCATTGGTCTCTTCGGGTATAGCCGCGTTGGTGGCGGCCTTATATACACCATGAATCACCATTTGAAAAATGGGCATTGTCATTGTTTGGCAAGCAAAAACCATGGTAACTAAGGATTGATTCAAGGGCCAAGGCAAAATCCACGCTTGAACCGAGAAGGTTGTTGCCTGTAAATAGGCTGTGAAATCTGCGGTTTTTCTGTTCCCATCATCTTCTGGGACAGCTGATCCAAGGCTATTTGGACGGCTCCAAGGCTCCGCACTTGCCGCAGATGATCCAAGGCGATTTGGACCTCCTCCCGCTGCTGCCCTTTTATGGACGAGCCCTGCAGCGAGTTGGTGAGTTGAATAGGGCACTAGTCCACCTGAAGGGAGCTCTTCTGGGCGCTATTTTTCTTGGAGTCTCTATTCGTGGAGGAGCTCGTCCACATTTCTGCATGTTTATCATGTTTGCTGTGGAGAAGCCAACAAACCGAAAGTGTGGCTTTTTCGGTCCTGATCTTTGGATCTTGGAACCCAGGGAGGCAAACGTCTCCACATGAAGATTCATGTCTTCAAAGCGCATTTGTGACTCTCAAATCCTCATTTTTGATGGCTTGAATCCTTATGATTTCCCTATGTTTTCTTACTTAAATCTCCAATTGTTGGTTGTTCCCCGGATGTTCATAGCTTCGCAGGCTTCGCACAACCAGGGCCTCCCCCGGGCCTCCAGCGTGTCTTGCGCCAGAAAGAAGGCCCTCAGGGCTTTGGCGTCAATCCCCGCCGCTGCGGCAGAAGCAGCACCTGATTTTAGGTACAGCAACCCAAAAAAATCCAGACTCAGGATGAGGCCCCATAGCTATAAGTTGGTTTATAACTCCATCTAAATATAATTATAAGTATCATTGTATCATACAATATCGTGATTATAGTTACCTGTATAAACAGATACCCTCTGGTGAATCAACCAACCACCTTTGATCCCAGAAAATACCCCCCATACATTGACCCATTGTATATGGTAAATTCGGATAGACCCACAAAAATATCATGTTTTTAGTGGAAACTTCCGACCCCTCTCTGGCCATCTGGCAGGGTCTATGTTGATTTACTGGAGGGTACAGAAAAGTAAAATCGATGTGCAAAACAGTGGCGGTTTCCCCGGTTTCTTTCTGGAAGATAGGGGGATACTATGCATGACCCAATGGATCGAGTCATGGTGGGCATATCAGGATACCCTCTGGTAGACTAACATAGCTATTGAAAATGGCCATTTATAGTTGATTTTCCCATTAAAAATGGTGATTTTCTATAGCTATGTTAAATTACCAGAGGGTATACTTTGCAGTACCCTGAAATCTGACATACCAGAGATGATCCTGTCCAAAACTATTGGACTTGTCCAACCCTCCAGATTCCTCCAAGATATAATGTCACATAGTCGTTTGAGCAACACGATTTTTTTTTGGAGGAAAATCATCAGAGCTGAAAAAGATGTATAGATGATTTTTGTTGATTGTACCAAAAAGACAATGATGTGTATAGATGACAAGGAAAATCATCTGTGGTGATGCCCTAGCCACATTGGACTTCAACTTCAGCGACTTGTACACGCCCAATTTCCCCACCTTCCAGCAAGATCTTTTCCGCGGCTTCCACTTCACTTCGCACCTCATCCTGCTCGACAGCAGGTTTCTCTTCGAAGTTTAACTTGATGCCTTGAGGGTCCTAGTTGGCTAGTTGGAAGGGATGCTTATACAGTTTTAAATATATATATATATACCCCAGTCTATCCAACAGTTGAGGGGTTCACCCTGCATCAACCCTCATTTGGTGTAACAAGGAGCTATACCTTCCCCACAAGAAATGGATGTGTCCGCGAAAAATCGCTGCATTTCTGGGATCTTGGGACATCCAACCCGGCGATCATCTTAGCCAATCTACCAGTGAATGCAGTGCCTCCCAAGAGGCCTTGGGGCCTTGTTACCAGTCGACCCGCCATGGCGATACGGTCCAAGTAATTTCTGAAAAATTTGGGGATCCATCGGCCTAGGTGCTATCAAGACTTGATGGTGGCTTGACATAAGCTCATCTGTTTCACACGAAGCAACAACTAATTACCCTCCGGTGTTCTCTAACGTGGCAAGGGGAATTTAGAAACTTTAGAACCAACATTTACTTAGCCATAGAACTTTGGGGTAAAATCATGTGTCAAATGTGGGTAAAGCAATGTCATGTTTACCATCCCCCAGACATCACCATAAATATAGGTGATATGGTTACCATTCCCAGTCATGGGTGGTTTATGAAATTGTTTTACCCACATTATTCAATTTAATGTGGTTATTGATGATTCAATCGAATGGTTAATGCTGATTAAATGGTGATTAATTAATGGTGAGTATATGTGATTATGGCATTGTTTTACCCACATTATATCCTATTAAATCACATTGGATCCCATTAAATCACCACTTTTCATGGTGAAATCCCATGAAAATCCCATTACCCTCTGGTAAACTAACGTAACTATGGAAAATCACAATTTTTAATGGGTAAATCCACTATAAATGGCCATTTTCAATAGCTATGTTAGTTTACCAGAGGGTAAACATGTCTATAAATGGATGATCTTCAAGCCAGCTTTGGCTTCGATGTGCACTGCGGCCCTGCCTGACTCTTTCGCCAGGGTCGGGAGGGCCGTGCGCGCGCCTTGCCACTGTCCTCGTTGCGCGAAACAGGCCGAACGAAGATGGCGGACTAAGTCGAAATGGGCTGGCTCCAGATTTTGCTCGATCTGATAGTTGGATATAGTTGGCTGGTTTTCATAAATCAACTCATAACATCTCATAACTGGGGGAAGTGTGCGAGCGAAGTTCCTTTCTTGTGGCTCTAGAACATATCTAAAGTTACTAAAGTCTATGGTTGTATTTAGTTGGATGGCTTTAGCCTAGGATTCAGGGCATCACACTTTTCAGGGGTGGAAAGGTGAAATTCACCCCCAAATTTACCAACAGCCCACGCCTCTGTCAGCTTGGCTGCGCGTGTATCCAAGATTTGGCTCCTTGGCGACGTTTCTGCAAGAAATGGAAGCCAAGCTGCGCTTCACTTACCCTCTGGTAAACATACAAAAAGCTGTTGAAAATTGCCATTTATAGTGTTTTCCCATGAAAAATGGTGATTTTCCATAGTTACGTTAGTTTACCAGAGGGACCCAGAGACACCCTCAAAATGCCCAAGTGTTCACAAAAAAAAAGCGATGACAGCGATCTGCATCTCCAACCCCATCCCGCATGGCAGTGCTCAGCCAGTAAAAAAAAAGTTAGTTTATAAAGCCCATGAAAACTATAGCGACGGACATATACTTAGAACATCATTTTTTTCAAAATATCGGAACCTCTTCTTAGAACATCAAAATTACCATACTTAGAACATCAAAAATATTTCTAAGTATTAGTCACTTAGAACATCAGAAAAACAGATACTTAGAACATCTCCTTTGATTTTTGCATACTTAGAACATTAAAACACACATATACTTAGAACATGTCCTGTTACTTTGGTAAATCTGCATATATACACACACAAATACCGTGGTGAACACCATACTTAGAACACTTTCTCCCCTCACTGCTGCAGCATTATATGCCTTTTCTTCGGGAACAATATCCCAAGGTCTTTGCTGCAATGGGAAGGTCTCTAGTAATTTGTGGGATTCCTACAGGGGGTAGTCAAAAAGCATAGGTTTCAATACTAAAATGAGCTAAAATGAATTATATATAATTTTGAATGTTTTGGAGATGCCTCATTTGTACATATATGTATGGTTCCAATTGGTTCCCCACTGGGATGTCCTAAGTATAGCATGGAAATGTTCTAAGTATAGGTTTTAGGTATGTTCTAACTACTTTTTTTGAAATCCATACTTAGAACATCCCCGCTGTGAAGATTTTCAGATGTTTTTTCCAAAGTATGTTCTAAGTGCATGTCCGTCGCTATATACATATATCAATATATCATACAATGTCTCTAGTTAATGTCAACCCCGGATTAATAAACCATGGTTTATTAGGGGGTACTCCTCCAATAGTCATTTCATCCAATACTTTTTTGTGGTACCCTCCCAATTAAACAGCCGTTTACGGGGTTTAATCCAGGGTTGACATTAATGTATGGTATCCAAGAAACTTAATAACTTATGTTACATTTACTACTAAATTTTATAGTATTTTTGGTAAATCATTGGATATAAATGATGATGAATATAAACCTCCTTCATGGTCCAGGCCCAGCCACACTGCTGCCGCATCGCTGCTCCTCCTCTCCTTGGGATACTCGGACTCCGGCCGCGGTGGAAGTGCCGGAGTCAGGGACCGGCGCCCCACGTTGCACAGGGCGCTGGGGCCGTGGTATCCATGGCCCATGGGGATCTTGTCATGGCGCATGATCCATGGGATTTGTGCTTCGAAGTCTCAGAACTTTCGTGGATAAACGTAGGGCAGGAGCCTTGGCGCTTCGGAAGCCTAGATTGTTACTAGTTACTAGTTGATGCTGTAAGATTGAAAGTTTTACACCTCGGAATCAGCCAAGTTGACTCGTACTAACATCCTGGCAGTCTCTTGCAAACATTCAAATTGTAGCATTTAATTTAATTCGCAAGGCAAAACATGGATGTTCGATTGCATCAATGCCACTGACTGAAAATGCCTGCAGGGTCGACAGAGGTCTGTCAGCAGTTCCTGATCCCTGAAAATGGGGCTTTTGCACTTGTCACCCTTCAGAGTATCATCTGCCACCTCAAAAAAGTGTACAAACCTTTGATTGAATACAAACCTGTAAACCCCTGATTTCCAGTTGAGATTTTCCAACTACTCCATTGATTTTCCAGTTCTTCAAAGTTTCATATGGGCCAAGATCAAAACCATCTATGGAATCTATGGTTGTTTCCGTCATCCCATGGGAATCCACACGAATCCATCTGATATATAAAACCCTTAAGAATCGGAGTCAGGGAGACTTCCCCCAACCAAGGAACGAAGTAGCACCTTCCCCAAGTTTTCACCATTCCACCCAAGAATTGGTCCTTTTGGGGGGGGGAAAAAAGGCCAGTTGGTATACCATTACCATGTACCTATTGGTTGTTTTAATGGGTGGACCCATTTTTTTTCATCAACCATCCAGTGGGACAATGTACAGGAAACCTCTATTATAAGATTCATGGTAAAAACATGTAGATCAACCATAGATCAACCATAGATCAACCATAGATTAACCATAGATCAACCATAGATTAACCATAGATTATCCATAGATTATCCATAGATCAACCATAGATTAACCATAGATTATCCATAGATTATCCATAGATCAACCATAGATTAACCATAGATTATCCATAGATTATCCATAGATCAACCATAGATCAACCATAGACCATAGATTATCCATAGATTATCCATAGATCCATAGATCCATAGATTATCCATAGATTATCCATAGATTATCCATAGATCAACCATAGATTAACCATAGATTATCCATAGATTATCCATAGATCAACCATAGATTATCCATAGATTAGATCCATAGATCAACCATAGATTATCCATAGATTATCCATAGATTATCCATAGATTATCCATAGATTATCCATAGATTATCCATAGATTATCCATAGATTATCCATAGATTATCCATAGATTATTCCATAGATTATCCATAGATTATCCATAGATTATCCATAGATTATCCATAGATTATCCATAGATTATCCATAGATTATCCATAGATTATCCATAGATTATCCATAGATTATCCATAGATTATCCATAGATTATCCATAGATTATCCATAGATTATCCATAGATTATCCATAGATTATCCATAGATTATCCATAGATTATCCATAGATCAACCATAGATCAACCATAGATTATCCATAGATTATCCATAGATTATCCATAGATTATCCATAGATCATCCATAGATTATCCATAGATCATCCATAGATTATCCATAGATTATCCATAGATTATCCATAGATTATCCATAGATTATCCATAGATTAACCATAGATTATCCATAGATTATCCATAGATCAACCATAGATTAACCATAGATTATCCATAGATTATCCATAGATCAACCATAGATTATCCATAGATCAACCATAGATTATCCATAGATCAACCATAGATTAACCATAGATTATCCATAGATTATCCATAGATCCCATAGATTAACCATAGATTATCCATAGATTATCCATAGATCAACCATAGATTAACCATAGATTATCCATAGATTATCCATAGATCAACCATAGATTAGATCCCATAGATCAACCATAGATTATCCATAGATTATCCATAGATCCATAGATTATCCATAGATTATCCATAGATTATCCATAGATTATCCATAGATTATCCATAGATTATCCATAGATTATCCATAGATTATCCATAGATTATCCATAGATTATCCATAGATTATCCATAGATTATCCATAGATTATCCATAGATTATCCATAGATTATCCATAGATTATCCATAGATTATCCATAGATTATCCATAGATTATCCATAGATTATCCATAGATTATCCATAGATTATCCATAGATCATATCCATAGATTATCCATAGATTATCCATAGATTATCCATAGATTATCCATAGATCAACCATAGATTACCATAGATTATCCATAGATTATCCATAGATTATCCATAGATCATCCATAGATTATCCATAGATCAACCGAGCTTTACCCAAGGCGCAATCCATGGCATCCATGGAAAGCCCCCCCGGCCCCTTTGCGCCTGCAGGCGACCCGGAGGAGGGCGGCGCGTACCAGCCGTCTCCGGGCCGCGGCAGCACCACGGTACAGCGATCCAAGGCCCTGGGCTGTTCTCCCGGTGGATGGGTGATTCAGTGATGTGGGTGTCATGATGGATGTATATACATATATATATATATATATATATGTGTATATATATACTGTATATATATACTATGTATATATATATATATTATTATGATTGACAATCATAGGTGTAGTGATGGATACAATGATGGATGGACAATGATGGATGGTGATACATAATGATAGGTATAGTTATGGATAATGATGGATACTGCAATCATAGATGATGATGTTTTTTCACCAGATCTTGCCATTGTTCGTTGCATAAAAACATAGAGAATATTCACCAGCTGCGTTAGGAGACTGCCCTAGATGCTCTGTTCAAATGGCTTTTCTCCGATGTACGGCCATGAGACAAACCAAAACGCATCCTCTTAGGCCGTTTCAAAACCGAAGATGATCAAATCCCAGATTTTCAAAACCAAAGTCTCTCCATCTTCAGATTCCGACAAAAAAAAAACAAGACATTCCGACATTCCTCAGAAATTCTCCCAGTTTCTTGGGACCACTTGGGACCGGCGCCAAGGTGCTTGGACACCTCGCTGCTGGGCAGCTGCTCCAGCCATCGCCTCACTGGTCCCAGTGGAAAGGGCGGCACCGCGTGGCCGTGGCTCAACACCACCTCCGCCATGGGATCCCAGGGGCCGTCGGTCAGTCGCTGGTGGTTGAACTGTTTACCCTCTGGTAAACATACAAAAAGCTATGGAAAATCACCATTTTTTATGGGAAAATCCACTATTTCAGACTATTTCAATGGCCATTTTCAATAGCTTTTTGTATGTTTACCAGAGGGTAACTCGTAGTTTTTGTGATGGTGAGTTATGGTTAAAAATTTCTGGTTAGTTCAACCTTAAGAAAGTGGATTCATCCGAATTCGAAGCCGAACAAAAAAACCGACTTCTCCCAGCGTGAGATGAGTCGCGAGCCGCCAAGTGCTGTGTTTTTTATGGATAGCCACTCCAGTGGATCCAGTGGGGAAACCGACTTGGGGAAACCAACCGTCACCAAGGGCGGGCAGTTAAGATATCCGGGATGATCAAGGTCGGTGAATCCCGGTGATTTGATGTTGGAATGGATGATTTTGGATGATTTTGGATCATTGGCTGCAAGGAATTCATTTTTTATTGGCTGCAGAACAGTGAACAGTATCTTGGATCATCAGCCGCTCTAAGAGATGTCAACTCAGAAAATTGAGCGATATCCGTGTCTGTATTGAGATTTTAGCCAAACGTACACCAGGCTGTTCTAGAAGGGAATCTGCCCAAGATTCAGAGGTCTTTGCCGCCTACACGGCACCGGACAGCGACGCGGGACGCTATCTGTTCGGGAGTGTGCGAAGATGATCATGATGTTTACATCAGCATGTCCTACCCTCTGGTAAACTAACATAGCTATTGAAAATGGCTATTTATAGTTTTTCCCATTAAAAATGGTGATGTTCCATAGTTATGTTAGTTTACCAGAGGGTAAAATGAGAGATCCCAAAACCCTAATTTTTTCTGAGGGAAACCACTGGTTTTTGGGGTCCCCCCAGTTTAGGAACCCCCAAAGATCCTAAGCAAGCCATCATCAACCACGGGTGTTTTAGGCCACCTGTAGGGCGAGAGTTCGCTAAGGTGTCACATATCCACCTTGGAGCTAAGCAGCCATTGGTCGCCACTTTTCTGGGAACTGGGCCCAAAAGAAAATGGCTATGTTGGGATTCCATGTTAGAATTTCCTGGGGTGTACTGGAAGCAACCAGGTCAAAAAAAAAATACATCACCAGCAACCTTCAATACCTTCACTATGCCCTGCAAGTAGGGACCAAATATCCCAGAAACTGACCAACCCTGGCATCAGCCCGGAACATCCACAACCCCCGCCTGTCGCAGTAGAAGCGTAGATTTTGCCATGGGGCAGGGGCTCTCTCCTTCCCCTCTCGCTATCAAAGATGTGTTTTGTAGTTGACCAGGCTAGCCCTTTTTTTCTCAACATTAGGGGGAAAAAAAGCAATCCAACTCATCAGTTATCTATGTTTTTGGGTATTCTATCTTGATGCCATTTGATGCCCATCTGTGCCCAATGGAGGTAGGGCACACCTCAGAGATATTGACATCCCTCAGCATTTTCGCATGGCTCAAAATTAGATGCACCCTGATACTTGGATGAATTGATGCCAAGAATGCCAGGAATGCCAAGAATGCCAAGCCGGGCTTTGATGCTTTGATTTTGACCATTTTGACCCACATTTTTGGGCTGCAAACTTGAACTGCCTCTGACTCAACCCAGCTTAAGAGCCAGCTGCATTAGCGCATCCGCTTGAAGATGGACTTTCCATAAGTCGCAACGCTTTGTTGCCATGGGACATTCCTATCTTCTCTTGACATTGGCATTTTCTGAACAACCCTTCACCGTGCCAAGCTGATTGACTGAGAAGTTCCAATGTAAACGTAAACCCATTGAGGCACATTGGCGGCTGGTCGTCCGACCCCCGGATCCTTGAAAACATGTCGAAGAAGAGCTTCGGAATGCCATCATCACGCAGCATGTTCCAACCTGAGAGATTCTGATGGGGATGTAAAATAATACTGAAAAAAAACACTAGGTACCTATGGCATCTTATGGCCAGCTTTGGATTTACCCTGCCAAAATCTCATGTTGGATCATGTTGGTAGCTTTTCATATCTGAGGCTCTGGACTATGAGGCACCATGACCTAGCGGCCCAAAGCGGCCCAAAGCGGCGATTCTTGGCACATGGGTTTGTGTCAAAGTTGCCCAAAAAAGAGGGATACTTATTTGGGCACAAGAAAAAACAGAATCGATTAGAATTTGTGGTTCTTAGGGCCTTGTCTTGGACCCATAGCCACATAGCAGTCTTAAGATCTAAGTGATCTAAGTACACAAGGTGGGGGTGAGAGATGAAACCACCTCAACGAGATCCGCTTCTCCTAGCCGAAATGCTGGGCCCATCTGGCCCATCGGGCGAAATGCTGGGCCCCCAACCGTACCCTGCTCATCAGAGGTGTCGTCAGGGATGGTGCCCATGAAGTCAAAAGACAAGCAGTTGCACGAGAGATTCAAGACCTCACCATGTGGAAGCGGAGCGAGGCAGTGCTGGGAGTTTGCACAAAAACATGGCCCATCACCTTTTTTGAGGGCTTACTTGGTACAATGTGGTACCCCAGTTATTTGTTGGTTTCTAAACCCCAGGAATACTACAGTCATACTTGCCTTCAACGTTAGTTGAGCTGGAGTTTTCTCAACCACTGTGCTTGGGCAGCCCTTTAAAGCCTGTAGACCATCTACCGCATCACTTTCTCACCGTGATCTTTTCACCCCGGAGAAATCTCACACGGAACTCTCACGGCAGCCCACCGCCGGCCTGCTTGGATAGACGACGTTCATCGTTCTTGTCCGGCACATTGATGGCCCCCGTGCTTAACTGCTGCAGCCTCACAAGGTGGTCAAAAAATGGGTCATGTCACTCCGGAAACTCCGCGCCCCTGCTACCAGGGGGATTCGGATTCGTTCCCTTCATGAAAATCATGAGACCCGATTAATTTGGACTGAGAACCCATTCAATACTCAGTTCGCAGCCACACTTCCATGATATGCCCAGCGTGGAAAAATTTCTCAGCTTCTTACGTCTGGATGGCGATGGTAAAAATGGGCGGCAGCGCGGTATCGCGAAAACTCAGCGCAGTCCGCCGGTGCCTGGCAACAAAGCAGCTAGCCTCCATGGTTTCCAAAACAGCAACCCCCGTGAAATTCTTCTGGTGAATCTCGTCAGGGGGTTACGAAACTACACGTCCACACAATCGTGGAGCAGCATTTTCCCTGGACTGGAGATCTCCAAACTGAGAGGATGTTTCTTTTGCCGCCAAAAGTAGTTGATACCAAAGTTCCTTTCAAAACATATAGAGGGACTTTATTTTTGGGGTCTTTAACTCTCCATCTTTTTTTCGGGGGTGAACCCCCTATTAACCCCCTATTAACGCAGTTCCGAAGATGGGATGGGTCTTCCCAATGGCCCATTTAAATTTACCGCCTGCTCATAGATGGGCCAATGGAAGGCTGCATATCCGCCGTGAGGTCGGTGTAAATCTCGAGACCAAGCACCCAATGCCTCAGCTGAAGGGCGCTAAGGCTGGGAAAAATTTGCCGAAGTCCTGCATCAGTTGAACACGGTGGCTTATCCCATGGTTCAATCATCCCAAATTGGTGCAGGATTGCTTCCATCATTGAATTGTGGATGAAGGGAGAATGGTACCCTCTGGTAATTTAACATAGCTATTGAAAATCACCATTTTTTAATGGGAAAATCCACTATAAATGGTCATGTTCAATAGCTACGTTAAATTACCAGAGGGTAAAATCTGCAGAGTTTCCTGCAGAAACCATCCAGCCATCCTTCGCGCGCTGTTACGTTTTTTCCACCGAACGTCGTGCGATGAGGCGATGTCAAGAGGCCAGAAAGAGGTTCTGCAACGGGACCTGTCGTCGGTCGAAAACAAAAGGTGGGGTCCGGTCTTCCAATTCATGATTTTTTGTAACGTATGGAACCTGAGGTTTTAGGTCTTTGATTTCTGGTTGAAGACTTTCCTTCTTCCAGCCCTAGAACAGCACCCCGAATTGGTGGGGGAACTGGTTCACTATGCGTGAGCAGTTTCCAAAACCTCACTGCTGCGGGATTTTCATTCGATCACCTTCTGTGGTCGGCCACTGCTCACTTACTCACTTTGCTACGGGACTTTCTCACTTTGGAAGCCGGCTGCCACACGCTTCCGGAAACCATCGAATGAACCCAACAGCAACCGACGGTTTTCTCCCAGAAAAATTGAGATCTTTGGGATCCTTTGGGTCTGGAATCCTCTGGAATTCACGGAAGCATCTGGCAAATCACAAATTAGTGCAACTGGCTCCTGCAGCTACACATCAGCAAGTGTCGCAAAACTCTTTTAAGCATCCGACACTTCATCGTGTCGAACATCAACGCTGGTGGCAAAATTGAACATGTATTCGACTCCAAGCACACCTGGGGTCAATTGAAATGACCTATTCCTTGCTGCTTATTGTATCAGTTCCAACTAAGCTATATCTGAAAGCAGCCGATGAAAACTTGGAAACCAGCCGAATTTTCACCTCTGTCACTTGTCTAGAGTTCTGCTCTAAAAGCTGGAAAATCTACTGCTATTGGTTGTGCAAACCCAGCATGAATTACACTTGCAAGATCGCCAAGGATCCACGTTATGTCGCAGAAGTGTCTTACGTACTTCCACAACCTTTTTTTTCGGCGAGCGCTTCGGGGTAGGGAAACTCATCGCCGGTAAAAGCGGTCTTTGTCAAAGTCACATGGAGGATTTGGCAATTCCGCCTCAGTCACGGATGGTGACTTGGGGCCATAAGTCAAAATGATTGATCCCCATTTCACATGGAATGTTGAAGAGATCAAGCACTAAGAGAAATGTGTATATATATATACAGATTTATTTATATATTTATATATTTATATTTATATATGTTTATGTGTATATATATATGATATATATTTTTTTTTACTGCAGATACTTAACTACATAATTGCATGTATATGTATTGTATATACATATATATTATATGTATATATGGAGGTTTCCGAAAATGATGGTACCCCCAGTCATCATCCATCTTTCTTCGGAATTTTCCATTTTAAACCATTGGATCTGGGGGTATTCGATCTGTAAATAGAAGGGAAGGGGGTGCTACCTGGGGACGGGACCATATATACATACCCTCTGGTAAACGTTTACATGACTATGAAAAATCACCATTTTTAATGAGCAAATCAACTATCAATGGCAATGTTCAATCGCTATGTTAATTTATCAGAGGGCATACCTAGGGTAAATTAACATATATATTTGGAAAACCCACCCCTTTTCATGGCTTTAGGACCATAGTCTACAAATGGTTGATTTTCCACATCTATGTCAGTTTATCCTACTAGTAGGGTAAGTAATGTGGTAAACTCAACAATAGTAAATATAATAATCAAAAGGGATTTAACCCCAAAATCATATGGATGCTACGGGGATTTAACCAACAAAATATGAGGATCGTTGATGATAACGTGGTAAACCCAATGCCATAAAACAATGCCCAATAATTAGAGGTTTATGAAATTGTATAGGTATACCCCGGGTGGCAATGTGATGATGTAAAAAGACCGGCAAATGGTTTGTCAATGGGATGGTTTACTATAAAGTGTTAACCACATTGTAAAACTTGGGTGAATTGTTACCAGTGTTGGGCCATGAGCTGCCACGAGCTGCTTAGAGTCTTAGAGGCTCCAAAAATTGCCTGGCGCTGACAAGTTGCTCCATATTTCTTTTCGAAAAATCGTCTGGCTGCTGTGACCTTCTCCTCGTTCGCCTTTGGATCGTCACCTGCCAGGCTATACAATCGTACGCCTTACGCGTCAAAGACACACAGCTTTAGCTGTTTAGTTAGTGTACGTAAATGTCCATCAAACTTGTTGCCTGGCAGAGAAAGATGCTGGGATTCAGAGTTTATTTTTGTGCAACAAAACGGATGCCAGTACCTCCTCTGCCCTCAACACAGTTCAACAAGTTTGATCGAGAAAGGGCTTCTGAGTTTTGAGGTTCCTTTCAGTATCATGACAACAAAATTCTCGAATGGGCCAAAGACTGAGGAGCTGACTGTTGTTCCAAAACTGCTGCATACTCTGCTTGGTTTCTCCGTAGAGTTCTCCAAGCCAGATCTCTTCACCTGCAAGGGTGAACTGCGCTGCTTTGTTGATAGGACTTCCCATGTATTCCCGTGTTGTTTTTTTACAAAAAAAACATCATGAATCAATTTGCAGAATCCTACTTGACCATAAACCATCTGGAATTTTGAGCATCACTCAAGTTCGTCCGGACAGTCACCATCCAAATCATCCAAAGTCATACATAAACCACAAATGCTACAGGATTCACAAGTGCAACTAAACACCAGTGCGGCCTATGTCCTCGTAGCTCCAGGTGCCTGGGATCACTGAAAACCAAAATCTGGGGCTCACATTGATCCTCATGAAGCCAGTAGATATATTCACAGCTTAGAATCATGGACTTCCCATCCCTCCCAAGGCCAAGCCACCTTTTTGCTCACACCCACTGCAGTCAAGACACAATCACCTTTTCCAGTGGGTTGACCTTGACACATTCCTCCAGGCTGCAAGTTTTCGCCTCCGGATGTTGAGTTTTTTGGCTGGTTTCCGTCAAAGTCATGGGGGTACCCCAACAGCTGGATGATATATTTCATGGAAAAAAAAACAAAGAAAAATGGAGGATTTAGGCATGCCCCCCATATATGGAACCCCCATATGGAAGTCATAAAACGTCTGGTCTCCATCACCAACGTCCAGCAGGTAGGAAAAACAGTACCACTTTACCACTGGCTGAAGGCCGTGACATTAGAAAGAATGTGAGCCCCCTGATTCTTACCATATCAAACATACACCCAAAAAAAAATGACACGGAACCAAGCATTAGCCATATCATCCATATCCAATAGTTCAATAGTGACCTTCCAAAGGCCATGTTTGGGCTTCCATGTTAAATTGAAGGGAGGGTTTTCTTTTCCGGAAGATATGGCACTATGATGGCACTATGTTTCAAGGGCCACCTTGGGGCCACCCAACGCAGTGGTCCGAGGCGCATTCTGGGGTCTGCTGGTAAAAGGGCATGCTGGGACACGCGCCGGGAAGGCTGTACCTGGAGCTGTGGAACACACGCAGCTGACGTAGCTCCATGGCATACCCGGCATACCCAAGCTGTTTCTCAAGCGTTGCAAGCATAAAACAAAGCCAAACAAAGCCCGATCTCTGGTAGGTCATCGGTTTTTCCCTCAAACACGCTTCTGCAAATGCTTCATTCGGGATGATTCTCAAACATCCATACCCGTCATGTGCCACGAAAAATCAAGTACCAAAAAAGTGGCACTCTTCGAGAAGTCTCCTTTCAGCCGTGGTACCAGATTCCACCCGTGTAGTTTGTCTCAAACTTTGGGAATGGGAACGAACCTCAGCGCCGTTTCAGCAAAGGCGGCTTTCGAGGGCTGTGATGGCGCGATTAGCCAAGGCACCCAAGTTGTTGCACCCCACGTTGTAGCCATAATTCCTCAGCTCACAGGGTGGCAAGTTGGTCTCCGTGTCAGATGATGGGTAAATCAGTTTTCTAGAAGTTTGTACAAAATGAATGTTCGCTCCTACAAATTCACCAGAAATGCAAGATTACACAATTGCTCCAGCTGGGTCTTTGTCTGGGACCTAAGAATTTTCAGATTGGTTTCCTGGAATCTTCAGATTTCTGTCCCATTGCAAGAACGGCTGACCCTCCAACTGGAAATTGAGAAACATTGTAGGTCGTGTTCCGAAGTCTCGAGTCCTTACGACCAAAGAACCTGCTATGTTACCCAAAGTGGAATTTTCACGCTGTGCTGCCTGCAGATGCTCCAAACAATTTAATTCGCCCCAGGCAAATGATGCAAATGATGCCCTGTCCCCACCAGAAAAACTCTCCGCCCCCCAGGATAGTTCGGGAACCAACGTTTTGGTCAAGTTGCTCCCAATCGAATCTGCAATCTGGCCCTGTACAGTTGCCATAGTCGAAGGCCACCCGAACTCCGAAGTTCATCTGGATGTCAATCAGGGTCTGGGTTGCTTTCACGTGCACCTACAGGGTGATGCAGGGGAAAATGGGAAAAAAACAAAGAACCAGCCACGTTTTAACCAACTGCTTTTCCAGCCCTTTTTTCACTTTAGACGTAAAGTGATGAAGCAAAAGAATTTCCATTGAAAAAAAGGCGGGCGCGTGAAAACGCCCAAACCTACGCTCCGCAGCGAAGCGGCTGTTTCTTCGGCACGCCTTAAAGCGTCGGATGCGCTCAATGCCGAACTTGTTGCCGGATCCATATGCTCCAGACACGACTTCGTTCTGAATGTACCACCTGCCATCGACAGTCGACACTTCAACGCCTCCACCTATGCTTGCCTGGTTCCAAACACCATTTTTTTTTGGGTACCCCCAATATGCTTTAAAAAAAACAAAAAAGAGATGACAACTCTGCTCCCTGAAGCCAAACTTTCTGCACCCCTTCGCAGCTGTAGCTTACATCATAATTGTTTTTTCACATCAAATATTCCCATAGCTTTCATCTGAGTTGCGTTCAAAACCATCTATAATCACTTTCCACTGGCTGGTTCATCGGGCTATATTTGCGTAGTTTTTTAGCCTCTATAACTTTAATTTTCGTCAACCAACAAGGGTTTTCAACACTACCCACCCAATTAATTGCATTGGGTTTACCACATTCTCATCCATGATCCTCACATTGAAATCTCCATGTGAAATCCCTATGATTTTGGGGTGTTTCACCAGTGAAATCCCTCAGGCCCCTGAGGCCGGAACATGATGCCCGCAAGGTTGCCGCTGTTCACGTTCAGAGGTGGATAATCTCCATGTCCCTGCGCGCGATACCTGGCTCGACCCGGAGGCAGAGGTGTCAAGATAGAACATGGTGTGCCAAATGTAGATTCGATGTATTTCAAACATGTTCAAACCTGTTGGGTGAGGTGGTCCCCAAATCCCCAAATGTCAAGCAACCGATCCGGGATATGCTGAAACCCGAAACAGCCGAAATCGGAGCCCTTTGAAGCCAAGCAGCATGTGAAACGTCAGAAGGTCAGCGTTGCTAGGGTATTTCAGCGATTCGTGCAAGAAGGGAAGTGCCAAGGGATTACCTGCCGACCGAAAAAAATGACAACAAAAATTGATCCGAATTGCATGGTTGGTAACTCTATTGGGTTTTCGACTAAAAATCGACCAGCAAATCTGTCTTTGGTGTTTTTCTAGCGTTGATCTCAGACCTACTCATTCCTTTCCATCTCCCAACGATCCCATGATTCCCATGATGGCCTGATGGTGGAGATGGTGTGGGTGTAGGTGTAGGTGTGGGCGTGGGTGTTGGGGCTGGACCACCCACAGGCAAGCAAGTCCATCTGGTCCGGAACTGCGGTGGATCATCCCAATGGATACCTGGTGCGCAGTCGGCCATACACTGAGCATAGAAGTTGTTCTTCATGTAGCATCGATGGTTGGGGTCGCAACAGGTGGGTTTGTCCAAACAGCCTCCACCTGCAGAAGGAACGCTTGGAGAGCAGTCTGAGGGGGGTGTCGGCGTTGGAGGGGGGGGGGGGGGGGGGGGGGGGGGGGGGGGGGGGGGGGGGGGGGGGGGGGGGGGGGCAGGTGCTCCCACCCTCCGGCACGTCCACCAGGTTCGGAACGCGGGCGGCTCGGACCAATGAATGCCTGGCACGCAAATGTCCAAACAAGCTCCGTAGCCTCCACTCTTTTCAAAGCAAGTGTGAGACGGATTGCAGCAAGTTGGATTTTGCATGCAATTGACGCTCCAACTTGGTGTGCATGATCCCCCAGGTGGCGGACTGGGAGTTGGTGGTGGTGGTGGTGACGGGTTGCCGCCCCCACCGCCCAGCACACTGCAGGACCAAGGAGTTCGAAACTGAGGAGGGTCGTTGGGGTGGATGCCCGGAGTGCAACTTGGCAAGCAGGCCGCGTACCTCGCCAGGGTTGAGCCAGACCTCCTCATAAGGTCTGGCCCATGGCAAGGGAGGTTTTGGCCCCCATGTGTCTTTGTCTGAAAATAGGGTGCCCCTAAATCCAATGTTTGAACATCAGTTTCCCAAGAAAAAATGCCATTTGCTTTTTTTTCTGGTATACCCTACCCCATTTTCAGACACCCATGGTTCATCGCCAAACCCGAGCCCACCTGTTGTTCTTCTCATAACACGTGAAGCCGCTCTCACAGCAATTTTGGGTCCATTTGCAATTGTGGCTGTACGAAGCGGTGCACCTGCAGCCCGGGGCATTGTTGAAGACTGCCCCACCATCTCTCCAAGTGAACAGTGCGCAAACGCTTCTGTCATGCCCTTCGTTTCTTGAGTTCCCATATTTCACACACTTCAGAATCCCAATGGTAATCTATAATTATCATGAGTATCATGACTGTCATCATCGTTAGTATCATTAGTATCATTGCTATTCTTACAGATCTATATGGGTATGGGTCAATACCTATAGATACATTTTTAGTGGGATGAACATCCATTTACCAGCTATTTTGGGGTTCACTAGGTACCAGGGTTTTGACCCATCCCCATATATTCTCAACCAGCTGCAACACAATCTTTCACCATCCACCATCCATGGCTTTCCCATGGTTTCCCAACCTCCCAGGGGGCGGTGGTGACGGTGTGGGCGGTTGCCAAGGGTTGACCTCCTCACAGGACCAGGGTCGACGAAACTGCGGAGGGTCCTCCCAGTGGATGCCCGGGCGGCAATTGGGAAGGCAAGCGCCGTATTCCCAGTCGCGTTTGTAGCACTTGAAGCCGCCATCACAGCAGTTTGGGTTACCTCGGACGGCCGGAGAAAAAATGAGATGGCAGAGATGGCTGACTCATCCCATATTTCTGGTTCCAGTTCTGCCTTAAATTGTCGATGAGTGGGGATGGGTCAGTGGGTACCCCCTTGCTCTTAGCTCTTGACCCTGGTGAATTAGAGCAAACCCCAAACAAATAGACTATCTGCTTTGGGGAGAACTGCCCACTAAGAGGCTATCATCAAACAAAAATCCTGCAGCACCTTTTCTATCTATTCGAGTCTTCCTCAAGGACCATGAATCAAACTCAAAACAACTTAAAATCTAGGCTGAACCTCTGAAACTCACCAACAGAAATACTCCAAAAAAAAACTCCAATTTCACCCAAGCCAAGAAACCGAGGCAATTCACGGAATATTTGGCCGTACACCAACTGGCCGCCTTGGGCGCGGTACGGCCACGGCCCAGGGTGAGAGCGGTAACTCTGGTGGCGTTGGAGACCAACTCGGAGCTCAAAGGCTGGAGCTCCTGATTGACTCGAAGAAATTGGGAGATTTGAAAGGCTGAGCTGCGTCCCTACATGCCCAATTTTCTTCCATATATGTTCCAGGTATCTCCCCTGTATGTTAGATATCATGATATCATTCCATCTCATAAAAATACATATATTTGGGGAGGTAAATCCCCACATCTATGGCATAAAAATCCAGGGATAACCTTCATCCAGTCGTCATGGAGCATGACGACTGTCGACTGAACCCATGGGTACTGGGGATCCCCAAATTTCAGGACTTCAACGATTTAACTGGCTGGAGCTCCGGGAGGTCCTTGGATTTCAACGGCTTTCTGTCCAAAATCTTGGCGATCACTGCATTGGAAGCAAGCACAGACGCATTCGAAGCGTTCAATGCATTCGATGCAATCTGTGAAGCTCCCCGAACCTCGCATGACCAGGGGCTTTGCCACCCTTCAGGGTCATTGGCATCCACTCCTGGCGGATTTTGGATATTTTTGGATCAACAAGTCATGTGCTATCAACCCTTGAATGCCAAATGGTCACTCTGGGGATCATAGTTGGGATTAAGGGTGAAAAACGCCATGTGAGAAGTGGCCGAACTCGGGACTTGTCTGAGGGGAAGTCAATGTTTAAGTGGGTCAAGCCTGCGACCCACTCACACCGTATTGCCTGTGGCATATCATCTCTAGTAGGTCAGAACTTTTGACGCAGACTCCATGCAACAATGTTGACAGCATTGCTTGATATTGCTACGGCTTTCCGAATTTATTGCTACTCCCAATTGCTGAAAACCACGTGTTTTTTCATGTTGTTCAAACCCAATTTCTTCAGCCCATGTGGGATTCCACCCTGGTCAAAACCCCTTTTTTGGTCGGTGAAATCCCAGTAGCTTGATGCCCATGGTGAACCCGCACCTGCTTTACAATTTCGCTTGCAAATGGCGATGCCATGGAGTTTCTCATAGCATGTCGCGGCGGGATCGCAGCAGCTGGCAGTGCCCCAGCAGTTAAAAACCTCTGACTGGGTGCAGTTTCCTGGCCGAAGAGCGAAATAGTCACCCACCTGGTTGGCATCTTCTACCTGAAAACTTTGGATTCTGAAAACCCACTGAGTTAGTTGGATCTTTGTGTTGGATCTCAGGATCTCAGCATCCGAAATATTTGGACCAAAGTTGGCTCATTTTGCTATGCCAGAAGTCCCGGAAGTTCTTTCTCCGTTCATGCTGAAATATTCTAAAGTGGGCCTTCCTCCTAAAGAAAACCTTTTGAGATTTTAAGAAATTACTTCTCCCATTGGGAGCTGCCAGATAACCCATTTTCATCCATTTTCCACGGACCATTCATAGCCCGGAAGCAGGGAACCACGGGCAGAAACCAACCAGTCCTGGTCTCGCGCCCCGCACCGCTTTCTTGGGTGCGATGCCGGCGGCTAATGCTTTGAAGTAAGCATCAACCTCAATGGAGATCAGGACCCAACGGACCAAACGGCAACAGCACCCGGATGGCCGGATGGTACCCTATTTCAAATGGCGAATGAAGGCTTCTTCTGCCAAATATGATGGTTTTCTGATAGGTTTTGATATATCCAAATATGATAGTGTGTATATATATAATATATATAATAGGTTTTGACCCATCCCCATACCATGGTCCGCGGTGCGCCTCAGTGAGGTTCTCTGCAAATGCTGACGCCAAGAAAAGCCATAAGCAGCAGGCCGTCCTGAACATCGGTAGGGTAAGGTGGAGCAATGTCCAGTTGGTCTAGTTGCAACTGGGGTGAACTAAGCCGCGCAACTGCATGGGTCATTAAATGTCCCCATTGAACATCACCCAACCATTAGGTATATGGTCTATAATGGCTACTACAAGGTGATGTCCAATATATCCAAAATGGGACAGTTACCAACCCCTGAACTGAGATGATAGACCAAGATAGACCAAGTAGAAGTGAGTCTACAGGAAATCACCATCCCATCTCACTCACTAGTTGCTAATAACCATCTCATAAGCCACTTTGAAATGGGATAAACCTCAGCTATACATGGGTATGAACTGGGATGCACCCCCCAGTAAAACTAGTACTTCCAAGCCCCTGACTTTTCATAGAACTGGGTGCTCTATCAGGATTTCCATTTCAGGTCCGAACATAGGGTACCGCCGTACCAAAAAATGGTTCATCATCCTCTTATTCGAAGATTCCATTTTGGACAATTGCCAATGTCCATCAATTATATAGGGATGGGTCAAAACCCTGGTACCTAGTGAACCCCAAAATAGCTGGTAAATGGATGTTCATTCCACTAAAAATGGTATGTATCCATAGCCATATAAACTGGGGGTATCCCTTATTTTCAGAGAAAACCTGACCGGTTGCTTCGCCCGGTCCTGAAGCTTGTCGGCCCCATGCTGGGAAATTGCACCAGCACAAAACTCTTGAGCCCAAGGACGGCCAAGAACCGGAGAAAGTTTGGAAAATGCGGTCTTTTTTTAATCCAATTGAGAAACTAGACCTAAGCTGGTCAGGGGGATTCAGTTGAGTTGATTCTATCACCCTTGAATTTGTTGAGTATGTGTTTTCTTTTTTGTATTGATTGTTCTTTTCTTGTTTTTAGGGATTTACCACCGTATCAACAATGAGTGAAACTTCAACAAATCAAAAAAAAACGATTTGTCAAAATACGTCGAAATCATTGCTTCCAGACAAGTCCTGAGGAGCCTTAAAGTACAATCTGCACCCCTATTTTCTCGCTCGGGACGCTCTAGCTTGTGACTGCCGGAAATGTCAAGGAAATCCATTCACCAGCCTGAAAGTATGGTTGGGGATGATTGCATCCAATTCCCAATTTACGGAGTGACGTGATTGTTTCAGTCCTTCAACGTTACTGGTGCTTAGTAGGGGAATGTTCGAGAATTATCCATAGCTTTATTCATAATCATCCCATTCCCCATTCCCTACGTTTCCCTACGTACTAAGCACAACAGTCCTTTCGCCAGGGAGACGATCTTCCCATCTTGGCTGCGGACAAGGGCGAGGACTGTAGAAATTGATCGACTTTCGCCGTGACCATCTGATGTTGGGGCCTCGGTCGCAAAAAAATCGGGAGCTCACCCACGAAAATGAGGGGTTAAGATACATATAAAAGACACATTTTTTGTATGTATATATATTTATATACAGTATATATATATATATATACAAACCAGAATTGGTACAACGAAGTGTTCAATGAGTTAGTTTTGTTGGGAAAATCCCAACGGAAAACCATGGTTTTTGCAGTGAACTTCCCCCAAATAGAGATTTCAAGCTGCAGATTCCCCATTGATGGCCGCATAGCCATTGGAAATTCTAAATCCAAGGAGAATTTCCAAGGGATTTGAATCCAGGTCAGGTAAAATCCATCAAGAAAAGTAACCTGGTTGGTGGTTCTAACCATCTTGGAAAATATGAAAGTCAATGGGAAGGATTATCCCATATATTATGGAATTTCAATAAATGTTCCAAACCACCAACCAGTAACTATATTCTTGGTCGCTTTTATCATCACTGCAAATCCACATCTCTTGGTTTATCTCCACGTCTTCGCAAGTTCAAAATGGTAACTCCCAAGAACTTACGCCACGCCTTAAAAAAGGGCCCCGGGCCCTTCTAGCCAAGCCAATTTCACCACCTCGGATGAGGTGACATTTGAAGAAATTTAATGTTGTTATTGGATTTATATTATTTTGACATATACATAATAATACGTGTATATAAATTATAGGATGGTAACTTCACCACCTTGGATTTATATTAGTTTGACATAATTTGAATATGTCCCAATTTTTCAATGACCGATTTTGGGTATTTGGACACAATTTCCCAATCAATAATCCCTATCCCTTTCCGCACCAACATGAAATCCGAGTTTAGTTCGGTGTATTCTTTATTCTTTAATATATAGATATGATCTTTTTGGGGGGAAGGGATTATTGATTGGTATATTTACTAACAACACCTTTGATAAAAAATATTAAATCCACCCCAAACAAAGCTCCTGGTTTATCAGTATAGGATCTGTTCATTTCGGGTTTCAATCTTGGGGGGTCTTCATGGCTATTCAATCTTGGTGGGGATGGGGTAAACCGCGTAAACCGGTAAACCTCCAGGTCATCTAGACATGTGAGCCACTAAAGATACCTCTGGCCCTATCCCATTTCATGCAATACTAGTTAGTTGGTTGATAGTTTTTCTATGGGTTGTCATCATACCCAATACACCAGGTAGTGTGAGTCCCTATATTCACCAATCAACCAGGGTATTTCTTTCATGGTTCACGTTCTTATCTATGTACCATGACATGGAAAAAAAAAAGTCACCAGGCATTGGTACCTTGGTGGCATAATTTTACAGGCTAACTTGATGCAAACAAAATAATTGGTCACAATTTGTGTAAGATCCTGTAATTTTACAAGTGGTACTTCTCTGCTTCTTTTCGGTTGCTGGGTTGCAACCACTCCCTGCACCCCGGACCGTTTTTGCCAAGGCTCTCTGCAAAGCAGCCTTTGGCAAAGGACCACACTTCAACACCAAGGGTTTCTCCAAACTTCAAATGCCACCCTGCTACCAACCATACCTTTGGAGAAATCCCAAACAAAGGCCTTTCTCGAACCATTCCCTAAAAGTGGGGGATAGATGGAAAAAAAATGCAATCGTCATTGAGAAAATATAGAAAATGGCTGGGTTGATGATCAAATAAACAAACTAATTTCATGGCAAACAGGTTGATGAACCATCGAATTTCCGTCCCAAAACACCACGGATCCTCTTGGGATCTCCGCCACAGGCCTGACCACTGGTGACACGCCCATGGGTGCACTTCTGTACAAATCCGGGCCTTGGAAACAACTACCACGCTTGGAACATGCCAAAAGGACATTTGTCGAAATTGCGTATGTCTCAAGGTCCGGAAAACATCAAAAGGTCCAACATCTGATCTATCTGTATAGCGAAGCCCATTCTTTCTGAATTGTGCCAACAAGAAAAGGGCAGCTTGCGGATTTCAGGTTCTCATACGATTTGAAACAGCACTTTGCGCCGGACCATTCTTGGCGAGGTAGTCCAACAAAAAGTTCCTGCAATCGGCTGAAAGCCTGTGATTTCGGGTCTGGCCAAACATCTAAGTCATCTGAACTCGGTTTTTTTATCCCCTGAAAAGAGTGATAAATTGCTGTTCTATCTTTTTCGGGGGTTACTGTACTTTAAAATCTTTTGGAGGAAACCCCCACCGCTGGCGCCTCATCTCTTCCTTCTGCTGGTCTGACACGGAGGTCCAGTGTGAAGTGATCAACTGGCAACAGTGCGATGCTATGCATATCTGCGGAGAATCATAGGGATGTAATTTCTTCGTAAAGTAGTGAGTGGGGTTTATTGGTTGCCTGGGTACCCAGCTATAGATTGTTTTTTTTTGAACATGGATAACCAGAGGCATGAGGATTTACTCATCGCGATTGAGCACTTGCCGAGATAATTCTTGCAGGGTAAAGACATGACTTGTTTTGAACTATGTTGTGCAAAAAAATGGATCGGGAGCAGAGTCTCATGCAACAATTCACCAGAGGAGAATCCTCTGGAAACTGCATATCTTGCCAAATGGAGATCCTTCTGGTGCTTGCCACAGCCGTCAACAGCCTTCATCAGTCCGGTGGCTGCAAAAATCAGCGCATGGGGACCTCGGTTCGGAACCCGGGTCCTGCCTTGAAGAAATGGGGCATAAAGATGTGCAAATTGTCAAGCTATATCTTCAAAAGAATCAGATCTACCTTGTGGACCCTTGCCCCTTGGAATCTGATTTTCAACAGCAGTTCGGCTGTCGGCTACTGGTGTGTGCCAGCACAAATTGAAGCTGCGGCATGCACCTCGGAGCCCGATACAGGAACATGAGGAAAGTCCAATTTCTGGCGCTGGCAGCAAGCCCCTGCCCCTCCCAAAAAAACAAGTCTATCCAGGTTCCGTTGACATTGAGGAACTTGGATGTCATTTCTTGGATCAAAGCAGAGAAAGTTTGGAAAGAATCCTCCATGTTTCAGAAAGTCTTTGCAGAAATTAAGCAAGAAGACAAGAAGGGAAAAGCAGAGAAGCAAGAAGGTAATTAGCCGCAGACAGGTTGTGAAAAGGCGGACAAAGCATTCGAAGTCAAGGCAAGGACAAGGGGAGAAAAGAATGAAGACGAGGAAGGCATGAAGAGAGACGAACACGGAGACAAGAAGGGAGACAAAAGGGAGACAAGTGGTGAGAAGGCAAACACTACACACCACATCGAGGCAATCGAGGTAGAAGGGAGATGATGGTTTCAATCGAGGATGTGAGAAGGTGCAGCGTCCAACAAGGCTGGCAAGAAGGAAGACAAGACCAGAGACTTCAAGAAGGACAAGAAAGGAGACAAGAGGAATAGCGAGAAGAAACACAAGAACAAAGACAAGAGGAAAGACAAGCACCCTAAGGAAGAAGAGGACAAGAAGGGTGCCAAGGGAGGCAACTGGAGACAAGCTGCACAAGTTCAAAGAATGATCATAAAATGTAGGTGTCTCGAAAGCGAGCTTGTCAATGAAACATCCTAAAACCATGAAATGCTTGTTTGACTTGTTTTGGGAAACAAACCCAAAGCTCACAACTGGGGCAAACACTGTGGATTCTGTACCAGCGGTAACAAGGTCTGATGAGCTTGTGCCCTCTCTGCCTCGACGCATGGATCGAAACAGGAAACTTGATTGAAAAAGTCAGGGAAATGATCAATTTGAGACCACCATCGGCTAAGACTAAATTTGAAGGGGCCTATCCAAAGACATACTTATTTGAATGAGAGTGTATCGGGAAAACTCCTACTGTGGTAAACCCAGTGCCATAAACCCTTCCCAATTTTACCAGAAATTCTGCAATATGCCCCGTCCCAAAATGGGAAATCGGAGCTGGCAGTTTCGACTTCGTGGTTCAGCCGGTCCAGCCGGTGCCTCTGAACGAGCATTGTAAAGGGCATTGCACATGGTTTCCAGCTGGGCCTCGGTCTCAGGTCTCACCGGGTCTCACCAGGTGAGACGGTGTGCTGAACAGCTCGGCTCCCCCGCCAACTGTGAAGGCTCCATACTTGGCCTAGTCGATCAGTTAAAAAAGGCCGATGGCTGTGAGATTGTGATTTCATCAGATCTTCACCATTGATTTCAGTTGCCAAGCGATTAAAAATCAGTTGCAAATCAACATATGGGACGCTTCATAGTCGTCCCACTTTTCTTGGGGAATTTTACGAAGAATCCTGGATGCAATTTAAAGCAGCTGAAACTGAGTTTCCAGCAGAGGGCTGATGCCAAAAACACTGAACCATTCACCTAACCTACAAATCTGCTTTTGGAAAAAGATATGAAAAAGTGCTGTTCGCATGGGCGCTGTGTAATTTGCGCTAGCACATCTCGGAGCTCGCAACAAACATCTGGCCAAGTCATAACTGTTACAGCACTGTTCTCAACTTTTGAGTTGGCAAGTTGGGGTGACAGCAGCTCTTCAGTTACACTAGCTTCACTCTGTACATGTCTGACTTTGGATAAGCTTTGATCTAAGTTTCACCTGAGCAAAATGTCACCGGCCAAGGTGCAAATGTTTAACCACGGATCCTTGGATGCCACCCATGTCGAAGAATAACCGCATAAAAAAAATAGCCTTCCTCGCTTCCCCGGTGTTTGTTCCATATATATTCAGGTGATACTGTAGATATATATATAGTTATAAATATATATACTTGTACATATAGTTATATACTTGTAAAAATATCTATGTATATCTATTTATTATTTATATACATATACATATGTAGAAATTATATATATATATACACATATGATCACATATTCACATCTGTACGTCTTGCTACATCGAATCCGTAGATTCGGAGTTTCCATTGGGGTTCCATTGGTTCCACCTCTCCCAGAGTGGCAAGGAAGGAGATTTCGTTCCTGAGATGCTTTGCGAACTGGAAAGATCCACCATTTTCAAGGGGTAAATCAACTATAAATCACCATTTTCAATGGGTAAATCAACTATAAATCACCATTTTCAATGGGAAAATCAACTATAAATCACCATCAATGGCTATTTTGACATAACCAGAGTGTCATCATTGAGCTGAGAAATCCATAGAAATCCCCATGACCCATGGATGCATGACACAGCCACGCCAGCCATGTGGGCTGATTGCCAGGGGGGAAAAAAGGCATCGAGATTTCGCGGGGAAGTCATCCGCTCCGCAACGGTGAAAGACGTGGGATCGTGGTCATGGACAAAGGATACAAAGAATCAAAAACACAAAAAAAACAGTGATTACCCTCTGGTAAATTAACATAGACCCTGGCAGTCATAGGACTTGGAAGATTAGTTTCCATTAGAAATGGGTTATTTTCAGGGTCAACAAGTTAATTTACCAGGGGGTAATGTTGCTTAGATTACCCATCATATCCTCATATAGTACCCATCATATTATCCCATCATTAATATGTTGAAGTTAAGTGATTAATGTTGCTTAGATTACCCATCATATCCTCATTTTGGATGCTTGGATCTGAAAAAAAAATCCCCACGTAATCCCCAGCGGCCAAGGAGCTGTGATTCAAAGGCTGAGGCACGGAGGAGAAACTGCCAGCAATAGTCCAGGCCTGGACAAGTTGGGCCCTGGGATTTGACCATCAAAAATGGCTTGGTTTTTTTTTATCATCTGGGTATGGGTCAATACCTATGGATACATTTTTAGTGGGATGAACATCCATAAATCCCAGCTATTTTGGGGTTCACTAGGTACCAGGGTTTTGACCCATCCCCATCTGTAAGCAATGGAGAAGCCCTAAAAATGGAGGCTCCAACCAAAAAATTGGCGTTTGACCATGTTTGACCATGTTAAAGTAAAAATGAATGTCGAGCTGTGTCCCGAGTTTTGGGATTCAACCAAGCTAAACCAAAAAGCTGGGGGTGTTTGATAGTACCCCCAAATTCCATGGGGCTGGGTGTCATGTCGGAGCCAAGCAAAGTACTACAGCTTCGTTACAGTCATTTCGAACATTCCAAGATATTCAAAGCATCTAAAATCTTGGTATTCAATGACTTGACCTTTCTCCTTCAGGACTTGGTACGGGCCCCCCAGCGACGGGCAACGCTGGCCGCAGGAAGCGAGTCAATGGAGGCAGTCATGAACCATTGCTTCATTTCCTGCAGGGACAGGGGAAGCTTGGGAGCTGGCGTTTGCTGTGGCTACTGATGGTACTGACCTGCTTGGAACTGGGGAGATCTCATGATCTCATGCAGTACCATGTGCCATGGTTGTGAATCAAGTACTCCATGAAATTCACATAGAAGTACTAACCATTCAAAGAATAGAGAGAGAGAGAGGAGACAACAATGGATAGTCATAATCCTAATTTGCGGGCGTTTCATTCGGACCCATCACAAGGGGGTCTTTAACGGCATGGATGCTTTTTCCAAATGCCAAGTTGTCCAACCCGCAAAAGTTTGAAATCAGAAGAAAACTGGTTTGCTGTGAAACAAATCATCCCACATGCAATATCTATACATGTCGCAAATTCTGTGCCACTAAAATTCAATCTCTCTGCATCCACTCAGATGATAATAATCAGTTGACTCACTACCTTTTTCCGCAGTGATGAAAGAAATCCAGCGATGATCCCCGGTGAAAAACTTCACACCTGCTGAATCCTTGGAAACAGCCAAGAACCAGAAAAGAACGCGGTAGCGTTCTGAAGTGTTTCAGGGCTGTGGATTGATTCAATGTTCACATCATTTTTGCTATGTTTTTTTATGGGCATTGGGGCTAAATGATGTGAAAATTGGATACTTTAGGAAACTGTCACATACATGATTCACCAATTCTTAGGCCATTCTATAACCACCCTTTGTTGGTCGATGTTGGTCGATTTGAGTCACCAAAAATGTGACCATGTGATTCAAAACAGGGAATCGGATCCTTTCCACATTAGCACTTTCCATATATTAATATTAGTACTACCCTCTGGTTATTTAACATAGCCATGGAAAATGGCCCATTTATAGATGATTTTCCCAGCTAGAAACCTCCATTTATAAGGGATTTTCCATGGCTATGTTAAATAACCAGATGGTAATATTCTTAAAAATATGGTTTTCCCCCAACAGTAGGCATCGGCCTCCAAGACACGTGTTCTCGTATCTCCCACGTGTTCAGCGCCTGAGATGTGAACTGAACCAGATGGGGAAACGATGCATGGCTAGCTATCATGGGATATATGACATGATGATGATTAATAAAATATACATATATATATACATATACATATATGTATTCAAGCATATCATAATGGTCAGGTGTGTCTGAAAATGGAGTATACTCTCCATTTCAAAAGACCCTTTGAGATGGGAAAATTGAGGTGTTCCCGTAAATTTTCAGACCCAGCTGATAAGAAAGAAGACCTATCATAACACCCAAAGGACAGTAAGTAACTTACTATGAATGACAGATGGCTTCATTAAATTCTATAGATTGATTATGATTGATTACTATCAATGATCTACCAAATTACATGAAAATTACTCTCTTAGTGTGGTTCTACCTGTTACCTTTTTGGAGTTTCTATATCAATGTGGACCCATCGTCGATGCCGATGCTGAGATGCCAACTGCTGGAGAGCCCGAGGAACCAATGCTTCCTCTCCTATCATGGATCGACACTGGGGATGAACCCGGCAGATCCTAAAACATGACATGGATCCTAAAATTCACTGATAAATTCACATTTAATTCACATTTATCACATCTCTCTCCGAAAAAAAGCCTAATTTGAAGTATGTCCTATTTCTGGATTTGCGCAAATATCATATATATATTTGTTGATATACAGTTCGTCAACATCCCAAAAAATAAAAAAATGTGTTTGGTTGAGTCCTCAACTCTTTGGTATAGTGGTAAATGCCAATGTGTCATTGTTTTTCACAACCCCAGCTTGTGTTACTCAACCCCCGTTGTTGGGATTAACTTCCCAGTTCGGAACAAATCCACCAGGGCGTATTTATGGGCTAAATCTCCATGTCTATGGTTGAACTCCCATCTTAGTTAGGAAAAAAACACGGTTTTGGTTAAATCCCGTTGTACTGAAAGTTTCAATGCATAGAATTTGTTTATCTGTCCGTGAATTGAAAACCTTTCTTTAAAAAAACTTGAAAAAGCACTTTCAGATTTACCTAGAATTATGCAACAAAAGCTACTGTTTGCCCATTGGCCCCATTCATATCCATATTCATATGGTTGATTTATGTTGATTTAATCGGTTAATCCCAATTTTTCATGGTTTCTGTGGCCTTCTGATAGCGCTCAATGGCCCGAATCGCCGCTATTGCCTGGCTTTTTTAAGCAGTGAAATTGGGGGCTTGGCCGATCAAAAATGAGGTTTAACATGCTTTGACCATGGAAAATTGTCCTGCAACCATACAAGAACACCCACTTGGAAAAAAAATACATGCCACTGCAGGTATGTCCACCATGAATCCGACCCTAGCTACTTGTTGCAAACCAAGTCACTGCCCCGTTATCAAATGAAATGCAATCAATTGTTTGTGTCTGTGTTGTAACAAGTCCCTTGGGAACTTGCATCATGAATCGAGTCGTTGGGTGTGGTGTCTTTCTGCCATGTTGGCAACTTACACTCAGTTCCTCTCCAAACACACAAGGTTCAAGAGCCAAAGACTCCGAAGACTATTTGGTCAAGATTCAAATTGCTGAATCAACCAATGGCAGATCTATCAATGGATAAAGCCAACAGCGTCACCGGTGTCCCATCTCCAAATCTGAGTCCATCGAGATCATCTCCAAGTCGCATCCCAAACATGACCAGAAGACATTCACATCCAGTCCCTGATTCTCGTGTGTTGTTGACACGCGATCTGGAGCATGGTCCAACCTGAAGCACTGAAGATGACTGGAGCACAACGAACGTCAGGCGATTGGAAAACAATGATTCAATGTGTCAAGACCAACAGCACTGCTGTTAGCTTCCTCGAAAAACGAGAGGTCGCGGAATCGGAAATTTCAGGTTTCTTGGAGCCAAAAAAGCAACGACTCCAACG